TAGTAAGGGCTTACTACGTGCCAGATACCATGTAAAGCTCTGGGATACAAAGCAAGGCAGAAATGAAACAACAGTACACGCCCCCAAGGAGCTTACATACTAAATGGGGAGACAAAAGTGAATGAAAAGGTACATTCACAGTACATACAGAGTAGAAGGGAAGATAACCTTAAAAGAGAAGGCATCGTTTCAGTCTTGTAAGAAATTAGAGATTTCAGAGAGCACAGGTTGGGAGGAAAAGTATTCTAAGAATAGGGGACAACTAGTACCAGGCAAAGAAACAGGAGATGAAGTGTCCTGTTCCAGCGATAGCAAGTATGCCTGGAATTTTACCAGTATCACTGCACCAAGGTGTAGGAAGTGTAAAAAACAGACAAAAAACTTTACTTAGTGTATCTTATACTGAAGTGTAAGAAGATTGTAAAGGTAGTAAAGGACCAGTTGTGAAGATCCTTAAATACCAAAAGACTTTATAATTTATTCTAGAGGCAACAGGGAATTTATCTAATAGGGGATGACATGATCTGACCCATTTTAGGTTAGTACCTTTGGCAGCTGTGTGAAGGTTGGATTAAAATGGAAAGACTTGAGGCAGGGAGACCAATTGGAAGGCGGTTTGCAATAGTTCAGGAAAGAGGTGATGAAGGCCTGAACTAGGGAGGTGGCCGTCTTCTAAAGATGTATGGGGATGGTTTCAGAGAAGACTGGGAAGATTCTTATGAATTGACATGGAGTGAAGTGAGCAGAACTACTTACACATGACTTACACATTAACTAAAGACAAATAAGTCTGAAAGACTTAAGAACTCTAATCAATGCAATGAGCAATCACTATTCTAAAGGACCCATGATGAATCATGCTAGCCACTTTGAGAGAGACAGAATGACAGTACATATTGGAACATATTTTTTGGACATGGCCAATAGAGTTATTTGTTTTGACTATGTATATATGTTTCAAGGATTGTTGTTGTTTTTTTTTCAATGGCAGGGGTAGGGGAGGTGGGAAAGAAAATAGATTTTTGCTCACTGAAAAAAATTTAATAAGAAAAAGATGTACATAAGATATGCGAAGTTTGAAGTGACAAAGTAATTTCACCTGGCTGGAGTGGGCCCCATTGGTTATGCTTTGTTATCTTTTCCATTCAATTCAATAAGCATTTATTAATTGGTAAGCATTTATTAAGCATTGATGTGCCAGGTACAGTGCTAAATGCTGACACAATTCAAAATAGAGCAATCCCAGCTTACATTTGAATGGAGAAGACAAAAAGTAAATGAGCACTTATTAAATACTAGGGACTGTGGGTAATAAAAGTGAAACAATCCTTGCTTTCCTGGAGTTTATATTCTACTGGGCAGAAGTTTGTATACAGGTATCAAGGCAAAATACATACAAGATAGTTTTTGTTTGGGGGAGTTGGAACACTAAAGGTTAGGGGTATCTGGAAAGGTCTAATATAGAAGGTGGAACTTAAGCTTCGAGACATGAAGGGAGCCAGAGAGCCCAAGAGGCCAAAAGTGAGGAAAAAGAACATGGGGGTCAGCCTATGCAAAGGTGTGGAGGGAGGACATTGAATGCCATGTGTGAGCAAGAACAAGCAGTCCAGTTTAGCTGGAACAAAGGATAAGGTGAAATTAGGCCAGAAAGGTAGGCTAGAGCCAGATTGTGAATTCCTTTTAAATGACAAACCTAGGAGCCTGTATTTTATCTCAGGGGCAACAGAGAGTTACAGAAGCTTCCTGAGAATGGGATTAACCTCCCTGTGCAAAAGGAATCCTACCAGCATTGTAGGAATCTCAATTTGGCAGCTGTATGGAGAACGAATTGGAGAGGAGAGAAAGACTGTACAGATAAGGAGATCAGTTAGGAGGCTATTGCAGTAATAGTTGAGGTGAAAGGCGATAGATACAAGTGCACTGTGTACTAGGGTGGTAGCTGGGAGACATTGTGAAGGTAGAATAGACAAGGCTTGCCAACTGACTGGAAGTAGGGCATGAGAAAGAGTGAAGAGTAGATGTTAGCTCCAAGGTCAGCCAACCTGGATGACTGGAAGGGTGGCGGGGACTGACAGAAACAGGGAAGTTAGGAAAAGGGGCTGGTTTCAGCAGAAAGAGAATGAGGTCCATTCTGCCTACCTTGGTTCGTTCTGGAGAAGTCCAATCTCATAGCATCTGTAGCCTCTGTTGTCTTTCAAGGAAAAGTTACTGACTCTTATTTCACTCTCCCCAAGATCTTTTGTGCAAAATGGGGACCAGTACAGGATATTTTTGTGAGGCCCCCATACTACCTAAGGTATCTGACAGTATTTCAGGCCTGGTAGAGATTACCATTTAGAAAGAAGTTTAGAGGACCCTATCTCCAGGTTTGGAGTCTAGGGGACAATCTCAATCAGTAGAGAGACACTAATATTCAAATCCATATCCAGGCATCCAAAATCTACGGAAATATTTTAAAAAGCTTAGCTGGGGAGATAAGCAACTGCCCTAGGAAAAGTTGGGGGTGGGGGAGGAAATGCAAAAGAAGTTAAAAGGCAGACCAGGAATTAAACTAAGACATCAGGAAGAACAATCTTAGGATGATGAGACACATAGACCTTCAGCTGATTCTCCCAAGGGGCTCTCTCAGGTCCTTAACCTAGGACAATTCATACAATGTTTCCTTGGAAAGATGTCTCACCAGGCGCCAGGAGGAGGAGCAAGGGCCCAAATTCTAGCCAGCTTCTATTTATAGCTATATTGAGCAAGGAATTACCATATGAAAGGGGGAGAGAGGCCAGCACTTGGGCCTCAGAGAAAGAGGCCAAGCCTGTAACTTAGACACAAAGCAGCAGCAGCAGCTGGAGATTGGAGAATGGAGCCAGGCAGTGGGAGACCAAACTGGGGCTGAGTGTATAGGAGCCAAAGGGATTAGCCAGGTTGCCTGTGAATAATGCCATGCTCCTTCCTCCCAAGGCCATTTTCTTATTCTCTAACACTGATACCACAGTAGAATCCTCTTGTTCCTAAATGTAAGGGATTATACATACATGCTTTTGCAGGTGGCTACAGTAGTTAAACCACTGGTTTCCAGGAAGCCTGGTGTCCCCAGATGTTAGAGCCTTTTCCTCTAAACCAGGGGTTCTTGACTTGGGATCCACAGACCCCTTGTGGATAGATTTCAGGGAGTATCTGTGAACCTGGATGGGAAAACAAAATACAACTTTATTTCATCAACTTCTAACTGAAATTTAGAATTTCCTCCAATTATTTAAAGATATTATTCTGAAAAGGAGCTGAATCAGGAGTCTGGAGACCAGAGCTATGTTTCCAGTGCTGCCATTTAATCATGTGACCTTAGGCAAGTCATTTCACTCAACTTTTCTGGGGCTTGGCTCTGTCTGCTCAATGATGGGGTTGGAGGTTATTTTTAAGGTCTCTTCTAGCTCTGAAATATGATTCTATGTATCTGCACATGGATGCCATATCTAAACACTAGGAACGAGGAAACTAGCAGATTAGAATGAAAAACCGGTGTCATGTGGGCAAGAGTAAACAATGCTACGTTTTCTACCTCAGCAGGCTTTTCAGCAGATATTCAGGACCCTGTGGAGTCCCAAGAAAACAAGATTTTCTTTCCCCCTAAAAAAATAATTGAGGAGTAGTTAGGTGGCGAAGTGGACAGAGCACCGGCACTGAAGTCATGAGGACCCGAGTTCAAATGTGACCTCAGACACGTAACACTCACTAACTGTGTGACTCTGGGCAAGTCACTTACCCCCAACTGCCCTCACCAAAAAAAAAAAATTAATTTTGAATAATGCTAATAGGAAAACAAAATCTTACCAGGGGCTAGGAGAGTGTAAAAAGGACTGACTTTAAGACTTTTAAAAATTGTGTTATTACTTCATATTCAAATGTATAATATTTTATTCAGATATTAAAACATATTTGTGATCTTGATTCAGAAGCTCTCTCTAATAACACCAAAGGCAACCCATGCACGCTTGCTCCTTCTTTGGACCTCTTATCCACCCTTGAGAAAGTTTGTCAGAGACTTTGCCGAAGATCACCCAGTTACTAGTGGAGCACTCTGGCTATCTACCTGTCAGTTCTCATGTGATAAAAGCCCATCTTCTCTAAAACAAAAACTTGAGGTCTGATACAAAAGATTGGCCAACGGTTTAAAAAAAGTAACAAAAAAACTCTCCGGAGCGTCTGTGAAGTGTGAGCATGACTGCAGGTCTTTGGACCCTGCAGCCAGGATGTGCCTTTCTGACTTCAGAGATCTGGAGACAATCCCCTTTGTAAACCTGTGCTTAGTGGCCAGAACCCTATTTGTCGCTCTCTTTTTCTCAGTTCTATAGGTGGTCCACATTTTACTGAATGGAGCATACTAGTGAAGGCCCTCCAGCATGACACGTTTAGGAGAAAGGCCATGAGATCAGATCCAGACTGCCCCTCTTTCATCCTAGCACATCCTAGGATCTGTGAACTTTAAAAAAAATGGTAATATCACTGATTTCCTTTGTAATCCTAAGTATTTCATTTTAGGCATTTAAAAATATTTCAAGGACAGCTAGGTGGCGCAGTGGATAGAGCTCCAGCCTTGAAGTCAGGAGGACCTGAGTTCAAATATGCTCTCAGACACACAATACACAACACATACTAGCTGTGTGACCCTGGGCAAGTCACTTCACCCCAATTGCCTAGCAAAAAGCAAAAACAAACAAAAATATTTCAAGAAGGTTTCTATACTCTAAGAGGAGTCCAATGACACAAAATAGGTTGTTAAGAAGCCCTGTTGGGGGAGGCAGGAGCATGCAGCAGGAGTTTGTGGGGACTTGCCATACCTTAGGAAATCCTAGGGTTGTTTTTCTGGTTTGCTTTTTTTTTGGTTCAGCAATGGGGGTTAAGTGACTTGAAATCCTAGGTTTTTGAACTGCAAGAGACCTTCTCCTCTCCCTTCCCACACCTATTCCCCTCTCCCCAATAAGCAAGATTAATTCACCAGCAACAAGTAGACTCAAAAGAAAATTTTTATTTATTTATTTTCGAGGTGGGGAAGGGGGAACTTTACAAGAATTTTTAAGCCGATAACTAGAAAGGAAGATAAATAAAAGCTTGTTACAAAGTCAGTGTGCTGAGGCAAACTCCCAGAAGACACACTGGAAAAAAAAACCCAAAAACTTTACATTTTTTACTGCTTTTACTTTACAATAATTACAAATTAACATACAGCAAGTGGGTTTTAACCCATTTTTTTAATAGAATCTAGTAAGGTAAATGCTTATACAAGCATTACAAAAAAATAAACTGAAAGCAGAGGTATGAGGTGTATTACAGCTATCCTCTTGAACATTCGGTGGCGTATGCTAGTGCACTCCATATCAGTAAGAGAAAACAGGAAACCACAAGGCTAAACTTTAACCACAGACAAACTGAACTGGACATATCCCTTTGTCAGTGCTCAATAACCACCATTACATAGTTTTAAAAAAGGCAGAGAATAGTGGAAGTCACTACCACATAGCATCTTGGTATGGTGTACCTACCTATTACCACACAGTGCCTACCTATAACAAAAAGATTAAAATTGGGCCCAAGAGCTAGGAATGAAAGAATTTTATGCATTTTTAAGGCACAAATTGATGTAGGTGTTGGGCCTCTCTCTAGACAACCGTAAGTGGAAGATGATGGAAAATGCATTTTATGGGATGGTTTTCAGTATTCACTTTTCTATACAAGGCCTCTAATTTTTCTACAGCTAGAGAGGTTATCAGCCAGTTCAGTTTGCCTGTCCCTAAACTTAGCTACTTTGATAGGGAAAGAAGGAATCATGGCCTGTTGTTCTAGCAAGTGAAATAAGATCAGCACTTGGAAAAGTGTTTTTTTTTTTTAATTTAAAGGCAGCACATTGGGTTTTTTTTTAATTTTATAAACCTGGCCAGCAGGTGGAAGATTCCAGAGCTCTGGTTAACTAGGAATGTTACACTACATTAAAAAAACAAGACAAAAACCCTGAAACAAACACCTTACTATCCTTTCCGTGTACAAACATGAATCACAGCAAATGTGCAGCCTTTGAAATAACTCATTGAGAAATGGTGTATTTTATCAAATTCTACAACAGATTACAAAATGGCCCTGCTAATTAAAGAAACCTCATACCTCCCGCACTTACTATCACCCAACATCTTCCTTTATGTCAAAACAGTCTAATCTGAACGATTATTTATGTGTTTCCAGATTTCAAGGACTCCTAAGATTTAGAAGGTCAGGACCATACAGTCTGAAAAAACTATTTCTCACTGGCACAATGTATGGAATTTTGCCTTGGCGAAAATCTCTTTTTTGGAAGGTGGCTTTTTGTTACATAGGAATGCAGAAAGGTTACTGAAGCTCACTAGAGAATAAAATACAATTCTAAGAGTTTCTCCTTCCTCCAACCATTTGGTCTCCTCCTGTCATCTTTCCACCATGTGCTCTGCAGTATTATGGTTAGGTCTGGACTTGTCACCTTCATCTACTAGAAAAAGCAAAGTGTTTGGGGGATTAAAGATAGCTTTTTAGGGGGCCTAAGTGCCCCCTTCTCAATCTGACTGCCTTTCTCTTTGTTCACCTGTTTGATAGTTTCTGCTGTAACACACATTACAAATCCTTGGGAGGCAAGAGTAGGAATCAGAAGGGCCATTATCTAAAAGGAGATAGATACAAAGTACTTGTACAGGTAATAATACCAGGAGCAAAGAATGTGTTCGCAGATCATCAGTCTTAACTCTTAACTCGTTTGATGGGGCACTGATTTAATTTTAATAACAAACAAGAAATACCGGGCCTTTATACCTCTCTTTAATACTACACTGAACTCCTGAAAAGGATCACGGATTGGGGGCAGGGGAGAGGATACAGGGGTGGGGAGAAAGGACAGTTATCAAAGGGATAACTTGTCAGTGGTATTACCCCAAGACATGGAAGACAAAAGGTATATAGTTTAACCTCTTCTTTCCTTTGGACTCAAACAGTGAATGTTTTTTTGAGAATGACTCTGTCCCCACAAGCTCACCTCAGGGGCAGAGAGGAGTAAAAGTGTTGGCAATGTTGAATTGTCTGCAGCATTTCTGGCTTTGGCAGTTCCTAACCTCAATTTCAAAGAAAAAATGATTATAAATTTGATTGTCTCATAATCAAGCTACTGACAAGAGATTTTAAAGTGCATATGGCATTATAAACTGTGATAAAAATTACCGAGATGATAATTTAATATTTAACTGAACGTGAAACCTGATTCCATGAAATCCACTTGATTCTGGAAAACTAGGTAGGCACTATTATCTGTAAGGTCACTACCCCAAATACTCTGATAATCTGATAACCAATCCCCACTTCGGCATCTTTGCTTTGTCCTGGCAGGGAAGTATATCATCCTATACCAGGGGCAAGGAAAACTGCAGAACCCAAAAACCAAGTAACCATAAAAACTAAACCTTGTCACAGTACAGGAAGCCAGATGGCATCAGTCCAACTTCCCTCCATTTTTTAGTTACCAGGATCAGATCTCAAGGTGAATTTCACACCAAGTAAAAAGCATAAGCAGCAAGTTAATTCCCTAAACTCAGAGTGAAACTACACTGAGAGTTCCATTTCAAAGGGGCTAAGAGCTAACAAAGGCACACAGAAGTGGACATTCTGGAAAAGTGGACTTCCCTTAACACAGTAATTAGAATCATGCATAAGTTGGGTAGTTCTGGGTAAAGTGCAGGGGGACTAGCTACCTGTGTCCTGGTTCTAAATTTGTCTAATAAGAACCAAATCAGTGGTTTTAAGTTAAAAAAAAAGTCCCCATTTCCCAAATAAAAGAAATAAACAAAATATTACAACTTAATGGGGACTTTCAAATCAAACTAGATCAAATTGTGCAGCAATGTATAATTATTTAAATGTGTTTCTGTTTAGAACAGTCCGTTTGTGAAGAGAAATTTTATCAGTACTAACACTTTTTTCTCTTTTAAACCCAGATCTGCCTTGAGGAGTATGGGGGGGGGGGAAGAAGAGGCATACGGACAGCTTACTATACACATTTTGATACAGAGGAGCTATAGAAATGTCAATTTCATTTCAATATTGCACATACTGTAGTTGTATTTACATTGGGGCTGAAGCCGCCTAGCTGAGAACTGAGTTCTTTTCATTCTTCTGTCCTTCTAAGACCATGCTATCCTATTTATGGGAGATCAAGACACTGTGGGGCATGGGATGCTAAGGAAACGGCTGGACCCATTTAGCTAGCATGGAAAAAAAAAGTTCTGTAATAGTGGATTTGATACGGGTTACTTTGTTTCCACTTTGTAGGCGCTCAAAGTCTCCCCTTAACAAACATTCTTTAATCTAAGGGTGCATGGGGAATGCAGTAAGTACTCTGCTTTCTGTATTTTTGTTTTGGTGAATTCTTGCTGAAGAATCACAGAACAGATCTGATTTTATATCCCTGTGTCAGAAAGGTAGGAAAGCACAAGAAGGCAAAGGGAAGAAATAGAGTTAAGAGGTGGCAAGTTTCTTGAATTCTTAACCCAAGAAACGAGATAGTCCTTTTTCTCTTTGTCTAGAAATGAAGAAGGGAGAGATGGGAAGGGAGAAAAAAAGGAGTACAATTCTTTCCTTTTCCCTCTTCATTTTCATCTTCCAGAGTTACTCCGCCTTAAAGGCAGCCCCAGGTGAAAGATTTACTCATTTTAAGTAGCACACTGAGGAGTGAGAAGTGGTACCATCTCACTTTTTGCATTAGTGAGACAGAGTTCTAACCATTGGGATATTATGTATATCCTTAAAAAAAATAAAAATAAATAAAACTAAACTAAAATTTTTTTAAACCAGACTTCTTTCAAAAAAACAGAAAGATAAATATCTCCAATCTGCAAGGCCAGCTTGCAACTCATTAACAAGCACCAAGTAATAGTTTTGTTTAAAAAAGAAAAAGAAAAAAAAAGTACTTTCAAAGCCCCCATGCTCCTGATGGGAAATGGGTGTCAAGGACCTCACTTGAAGAACAGAATATTTTGCAGTCCTCCTGTACTGTGAGGACCACATACTGTATGTGAAGCCTTCAAAGGCTACTATTGTGGTTGATTTGGAGGGGGAAAAAAAAGAAAAAAAAAACAGCCAATGAGCTGTTCTCAAGGGAACAGCTAGTGGGAAAGCTTCAAGCAAACACAAATCAAAACATAGTAGAGAAAAAAAAAAGCATCAGGGATGATTACTTGCTCCAAAACAGTAAGGAGACAGTAGCCATTGAATTGTCCTCTACCTTCTTTTCCTTCTTTCTTTTTTGTTCTCAACAATTCAAAATCCACTAAGGTCTCCTGAAGAACTCTGCTCAACACTGAGTTCAGAAACCATATTTTTTCTTCGTTTTCTATCAGCCCCTTTCTTATCTTTATTCACGAAATGCCAAAACATGGGCTCACAAACGCCAATGTGTCTGTCCTCACTTCCTGAGCCTGGAGCTCTTTGGTAGCCAGCTGATACTTGTGGCATGGGGCTGGGAGATGAATACATACAGCTGGACCACAGTACAGGTGATGCCTATCTTTGATGCTAATACGCTTCACTGGAAAAGTCAGGCTTAGAGAGCAAGGGAGTGGCTGCCGGTTTTGAATGCTGCCACGACACTCTTTTGGAGCAAAGGACTGTCATCCAGTCCAGTAAAACTTACTAGGATCAGGAACATTAGTTACTTCACATGGAAGGTTCTCAGGAATAGTTCCAGGAGATGTCAACCAGATTTGGTTAATCAGTGACAAACAAACAAATGTCTTCTTGCTCAGAAAATAAAAGCTGACACAGGATGTGTTCCCTTGGTAGGTGATAACTATGTGCCATCTGTGCAGACAAACATTTTGGAAAGCCAACTGATGAGTTTTCATTTTTCTAAGCCCCTCTGGAATATAAGGATAGAGGTGAATACCATCCTTTGGGGATCCCAGCAAACCGTCAATATCCAGGTGCTGCACAATACACCCAATTACAAATATAAGGCTTTCTTTCCATACCATAATCAGATCTCCCTCCTAAAATGAAGAAATACAGGCAAAACAGGAAGGAAGAGTGCAAGGAATGGGGAGAAAGGGCAACCAAAGGGTGAGATATTTAATATCTACATGCTACCTGATAATCATCAGGTATCTTCCTTTTGGGCTGAGCTAAGCTAACCCAACTTCTCTCTACATGCTACGCGCAACTCTACAGATATATGTGTATACACATGAAATCCGTACATGTGTACATACATACAGGTCACACTGCAAGGACTGAATGGCATGCTGTTTTTTAGCTGTCATCTCCTGATAAAACAAATTTGGAGACATGTATGCTTTCATACTTTTAACATCCAAGGAAGGATTTTGTGACCTGGTAAACCCTCCTACACACACTAGGGCTGGTGATAGCTGTTTACATCCTGAGCCGAGTACTGCCCACCCCCTTCACCCTCAAGCCCTTGGTATTCAACAAGTCACAGATTGGGTCCCCCTCCCTGCCCCAATACTCAATTTAATTATTTCCATCAAATCCAGGATCCAGGAGAGCACTGTCATGTGTTTCTTAACAACAAAGAGAAGGAAAGTTCCCGTCGTGTAAAGCTCATGTGCTAACAGTGGAGAAGGCAGAGCTGGTGATGATGGTGTCAGATTCTAATAGTTTCTATCTTGGTAGAACAAAAAATTCAACCATCAACAGAAAATCTCTTCACCTTCTGCTGGTGCTTCAGGTGAATGGCCATCTGGAAAAAGGACACCCAGAAGAAAAGGAAAATTAATTGAAAGGGAAAAGGAGGAAAAAAAATCTAAAAATTTGCTTCTATTCATCACTACTACACTAAAATATCTTATTAATACAAGTATCTGAATGTAGTTAATTTTGTATTTTTAAAAAATGAGAAGTACACACCTGTATTACCCATCACCCCTTTCCTATTTCATAAATATAGTTCCTGGAAAGAGCCTTATTGGGGACCTTTCTCTGGTCTAATGCAGTTTCTCACAAAAGCAACATCCTTCACCACTTACTACTTCTTAATTTTTGCGAAAACTAGGGTGTGTGTGTGTATGAAAACCAAAAGACATCAGCAACACACAAAGTGTGAAGAATCAAAATCACCCAGGCATTCCCTTCTCTCCTCGCCTGTCTTCCCCCAACAAAGGAGAAAAGAATTCCCCTTTTTAGGACCTCTGGAGCAGAACTGTCCTTCTTTTTGACACCCTCCCCCGTGTTTATTACATGTACATACATTTTGGAACTTTATTATATTGTCAGTTAAACTGCTATATGTATGTATATATGTAATTCTTATCTCTCCAACTGAACTCTAAGGCCCCTGAGGGTAAATAGAATACACTGTACCTCTGAATCTCCTACAGTGTTTATGCTCACTTTTGGGCACACACAGCAGATGCTCAGGAACTCTTGTAAAATTTAAACACCCAGTTGAGATCTCCAATGACCTCTGAGTTTAGGAGACCACATTATGGACTTGGAGGACAGTATAACAACAGAAAGCAAACTGTCTCCTTGCTTTCTTCCTCTGATTCAACCAATCAAAAAAGAAAAATCAAGGAGAGATTTTTACTATCAAAAAGACTCAGGGAGTTTTGGTTCTTTTCTGACTTACCACCTGGCTGAGAACGGCCTCCCTTGCTCTTCTTCTTCTTCTCCTTCTTTTCCTTTGGCTTTGCTAAACCAAAGAGGCGTGTGGAGGCAGAGGTGGAGACCGGGATTTGGCTCTGCCCCTCTGATACTTTACTTGCCTGGCTGGTGGAGCTGAGTAAGTGGAACGGACCTTTGTCTTTATGTGTCCGGGAGATGCTGTTCCTTTTGGGGGATATAGAAAGTTCTGAGTCCAAAGACCCTGATTGTGATATGGAAGATGCTGTTAGCTGGGAAGGTTCTTCAGGATTGGGGAAGAAGGCTGGGATCCGCATCAATTTACTGTGTTGATGTGAAACCTGCACATGGCAAATAATATTTTTTTAAATTTATTTTGATGTATCAACAATCATTTCCATAAGCTTTTGAGTTTTAAATTTTTCTCCCGCTCCCTCTCCAAGCTGGTGTGCAATCTGATATAGGCTATACATATACATTCCTACTAAACACATTTTCACATTAGTGAAATAGTAATATTTTTATACTAACATTCTGTCTAAGATAATCTTACAGGGACTTCAAGGACAAATGACAAAGCCTCACATTAAGTTAATCTAAAAATGGAGTTTTATTGATAGTATACTAATACTGGGTTCATGTGTAAAAGGAACTCCCAGTAAGAAAACTCCATCTACCAATGAAGCAGCTGGTAGCACAGTGGATAGGGCACCAGGCCCAGAATCAGGAAAACCTGAGTTCAAATCTGGCTTCAGATAACTCATCTGTAAAATGGGGATAATAGCCTTTTACCTCCTAGGGTTGTTACGAGGATCCAAGTGCCTGGCACATAAGTACTATATAATGTTAGCAATTATTTTTATTCACAGTTTTGCAACTTAAGAGTTTTGTGGAGCACTTGAAGTTATGTGATTTGCCCAGGAGCACAGAGATAGTACATTTTATAGTCAGGACTTGAACCCAGTGCAATACTTTCTCATACAAAAAGAATAAGCATAATCCCCAAATCCCCACTCTGGACTGCTTTTGGGAAATAAGGCTAGACATATGCATTGCTAATGCCTAGGCAAACAACTTGGCCCAGGTTACTGCCTGGTTCTAGGTAGACCACAAATGTAAGGGAGCTGGTAGAGTTTTCTACTGAAACTGGTAAAGGAAGTTGGATGTCCCACGCTAGGGTGAAGACACCATCACTGCCTTTGATTTCTCCCATTACAAAGTCAGATAAATCCAAACATAGGGGTTGGTGTAGAATTCCTTTGGAGTTGAGGGACCGTCATCAGTGAATTTGGCTGTCTTAAAAGGTGTGATCCTCCTCTAGGTGAAGGGACTGATCTAAGTCACCTGTATCACCATCTATGAAATGCTTGTTAGCTACATGATTAAAAGAAAATCACAAAACAGAGCTAATATAAGCCACATTCATCCACTCCCAGCTATCTGCTCCTCTATTAACCTTTGTGAAAAGGTTAGAAATCCATTGTTATTTTTCATAACAATGATGTACATTTAAGGCTAGTTGAACAAACAGTCTGGCTCGCTTGTTTAAGCAAGGCACTAATTTATGACCAGGCAAGTAAAACAATTTAATTTCATGGTGAAAGGTGGTAGGTTGTCAATCTGAAAACCGACTTACAGACAAGGCTGTAGATAAATAAAGAGAATAGGAAGGCTCATTGCCTGGGTAGTGGCATCAGTCAAGAGTGCCCAGAGTATGATCTAGAATTTAATCTCTTGCCTAGAGTTTTCTTAATATTAAGGGTAACGCCAAGGGTTTTTTTGGTTTGTTTTCACTTATGGTGGCAAAAAAACATGCAAATACATAAAATACATTTAATTTGTACCTTCTCTGTTGCCACTAGAATTCTCCTTGATATAATACTAATAATGGTATTAGGATTAAGGTAGAGTTGCAAAACATAGCAAAGAAAACAACGTGGAAAGGTTCCATGACCCCAAAACATTTGGAAACCCCTGTACTTAGCCACAATAGCTTTTTTTTTAGAGCCATTTACTGGTTTGTGTTTTCTAATGTATTTGGAGGCCAGAACCATTAGTCAAACCAAATGGCCACATGAAATTGGATCTAACAAACCTGTAAACCTGCAAATGAATGTGCTCTCCTCAATCCCCACGTGGACCGCAAAGAGAAGATTCTAGGACAATTTAGGAATAATTTCAGAAGAACAAACCTTTTGTGGAGACCAAAGTTTCTAAATAATTAGAAACCTTTCCACCAATACAACAAAGACAGAAAAGAGGATTGAACTGGTTTGTTAATAGCCAATTAGTAGCAAAGCAGGAGTAAGAATCAAGGAAATAGTGGTTTTTTTTTTCCTACTCTACCTTCCCACATCAATATGCATATTCCTGCTCACTCCTCCTTCCTGAAACAAACCTTAGCCTATTTCTGGGTCACCCAGTCACTTTAACAATTTTCTATCATTCATATTCATGATACAACTATAATTTATGTGTTTCTGTGTATTTTCTCTTCCCCACTGGGTGATATGCTACCCAAAGGATAAGGAGCATGTCTTATTTCCTCTGCAGTCCTTTTACTTAGTAAAGTGCCTGGAACATGATGAGATTGATCTAGAAATAATTTGAACTAATTTTTTAAAAAACTTGCCATACTTAAATGAAAGTTTTATTGATGGTCTTTATTTTTATGGTCACTTTCCCATAAATTCTCTCCCCCAACTCCTCTCTTGTAATAAAAACCAACTAACAGAGTGACCACACAACACTTTATGTGACACTTGCCATCCACAATCCTGCCCCTCTCCAGTGAGAAGAAGGAAGGGTGTTTTATCACCTGGTCTCTGGAAACAAGTTTGCTATAACCTCAGTTTTGGCAGAAATGTTGCTGCTACTTTAGTCTGAGCTGATGTCTGGTAAGGAGGCATAAAACAAAATGGAAACCCTTCTTTATGCAGGAAGTAAAACTTATCAGATTTCCAGTCATTCCTTACAACAACAAAAATGGTCTATGACATCATGATTTTAAAAAAAAAGAAAAGGAAACTTCATTTTAATTGTTTTCTTTCTGTGAAATGCAGATGCTTTTCAAAATCACGACTTCATAGGTTTATTATAGTATGTAGCCAAGAAGAGAAAAGGAAGGCTTAGTTCTGGTGCTTTCAGCATCTAAGGGGAACCCTGGATTACCTGATTAGCATCATGCTCCGCCTGCCTTTGGGTTAATCTCTCCATCTCTCTCTTCACTTGCTCTTGTTCCTTCTCGAGCTGCTTCTGGGCGGCTCGGAGCCGCTCCAGGTCAGACTGATATGCTGCTTTCTTCTGCTGGAGCTCTTCTCGGTCCTTGTCCAGGTCCTGCTGCCCCCGTTGGACTTTCTCCTCCCATTGGGTCAACCGTGTTTCCCGCTCCATCAGCTCTTTCTCTCGGGCCTCCCATTCTTTCTCCCGCCTGCGTTTCTCCTCCAGGTGCTGAGCCTGTTGCTTCTGCAGACTGGCCAGATCCTGTCGCTGCTTTTCTAGGCTCCTCTGCTTTTCTTGCTCAATCAGAGAGTTCGGTCTGGAGGAGCTCCGGGTTATTGCCCTCTCACTGAGCATCAACTTTTGGTCCTCAATGTAGCTATCCTGCTGTAACACCACACCCTGGAAGGGAGAGGGAGAAAAATGAAATTATCCTGATTTGATGTCATGGTTTATTTGGTTTTCAGTTTTTTGTTGTCCACCTACCCATTACATCCATCTCTTTCAGTGTCTGCCTGTTAAGACTATATATTATAAATCCCCAGATTAGTATTAAGTTGGCACTGTGAATTTTCTTTCCATGCCATCACCTTTGGCAATAATTGTATGGGTGTATACATGCCTTGTTGGGACAGGGAATTCATAGGGAGCACCAAACCACACTAAAGAACAAACCTGCATGAAATTCTTCTGTTATCTTGTTAAATTTCTCATGAACTGGTTCAGGTCACAGACATTATTTGGGAGTAGGAATTAGTAGTAACAGAAGACCAGAGTGAATGGAAACCCTAGTTTTTGTTTTTTTTTTCCTGTGTATACACTCTTAGAGGCAGCATTTAATAGTGCCTATTTTAGAGGAACCCTTCCCCCAACCATGTTAATGTGTAAAACTAGACACAAGGCATACATACAGCATATATCAATTTGAAGATAATATCAAGTAATTCCCAGGCTGAAATTAATATCTAATTTCCATCATTAAATGTAGGTTTCTATCACACAGACTTTTACGAATGTCATCCCTGAGTGTCCATAGCCTCCCAGTGAGGGTATATTTTTCATTACAGTTGATTTATTTTCTTCCACTCCTTTTTGCCATTTGATGATGCTCAGTCTTCAGTACCATTTTCCAGGTAATTAACACTACTTACCTGCTTCAAAGCTGCTAAACTGAGTTTAAGTACTAAGCAAGCAATAAACCCAATCCTAAAGCAAAACTACAAAGCAATTAATAATACATGGGATGAACTGCAAATAAGGTACCTACCTGCAGAGTGCTAAGAAGTTCATGGAGATGAACAATACTCTGGATAACTTGCTGCAGGGAAGACAGACAAACACCAGAAACACTGACTTTAGGAATTTCCCAGATCTCAGAATTCACCATGATACTGTGGTTATTTAATGAGAAAATCATGTCTTTAAAATATCACATAGTGCCTCTACATTTTGTGAAATCTCCTCAGTTCTCGAACATTAATCTTAATACAGATTTATTTTTCCTGGGAACCTACTTTCCATCTTTTATTTGACCTCACAACAGTTACTTGTGGGTGACTAATTTCTCCTAGTTCAAATCATTTTATAATAGAGAGTTCTACTATCATGTGTATTTCAAAAAATGTGAATTTATTTCAACACAATTGATATATCAAAGCACATTTTGGGTATAATATGATTCTGAGGTTACCTCTGCTCAATGCCTTCCTTCAGAGCCATCACAAAGTCACAAGTTACATCTTTTCTGACACCACTTCTAAAAGAAAATTTCAGGTCTTTTTCAAAGTAAAGAGCTGTATTTATTGTATATCTTCTTGTGTAGTAAGACCTATGAGTAAAGGTTGACACCCCCTCACCCTTCCATGACCCCAAGTTGTTGCTGCCTGCCCAACTTGCTTGTATAGCTGAAAGGGTGGGCCAGGCAGCAGCCTGGTCAGTATTTATTGTAGTACTGTAGTATTTATGTATTATTTTTTCATCATTTAACATGTATCAAACTGTGCTATTTTTTATAAGATTCTTATCTTTTTTAAAAAAAATGGCACTCACAAAGTTTTTGAGCATTGTTCCCCATAAACTCTGTGGTTTTTATTGCACCATTTTGTATAGAGAGATGATTCCTGGGAATGCCCTGTTAGAGTAGAACTTCCTGTATGTAGCTTACTCCTTAACTGCCCAGTAAATACATCCTGTACTTCTGTGTCTTATCTCAGTTGTATCAAATGAGGGTAAGAAGACAGGCTGAAGAGAAGTTCTGTCGCTAGCAGTCAGTCCCTCAGGTAGTGAGTATAAGTGACCTAGGTACTCCAGTGTTCATTCCATTTTGAAATAAAATATTTATGAGAGTTCTTCCTTCAGGCCACTGTAGTTTTTATATCTTTGTGGAGCTAAGCAATCAGCTACAGTACTACTTACTGAGGAAAAGCCCATTTTTAAAAATGTGGGTTCACAAAATAAAAAACTCATCAAGTATTCAAGTATGACATACTTTATGTACTTGAAACACACAGGATACTCCTCAAAAGCAAGCACATTCATGTGATGTACTGGGAAGAGCACTGAAGTTACAGAAAGCAGAACTGAATTGGAATCCCAGCTCTGTCACTTACTTTGTGGTGACTTTGGGCAAGTCAAATAACCTCTCTAGGCTTTAGTTCCTTCATCTGTACAAATGAAGAGGTTGAACTGGGTGCTCTCCAAAGCTCTCCTCTGCACCCCTCTCCAGCTCTAAATCCTATAAAATATATCTCTTAATACTATGCTGCTTCTCTTGAGAGTCAAATATTTATATGGAAAAATCAAGTCTGTAGAGTAAGAACACACACCTGCAAGGACTTCCATTGCCCTGAAGGATGGAGAAAGCTTGGATCTTAAGAGATTGTGATTAACCACGATGAAAAGGAATAGTATCCAAATAAGAATGCTTACCTGAGAGAAAATGGGGCTGCTTCACGTTTTAAAATATATGATTAATGAAAAAGGAGCACTAAAATAACTCTTGCTTACTTTCCCCTTTTCCCCCTTCAACATACACACAAACCTAAACTTTTTTTTTGGCAGGATAAAAAGTTTAATTTAATTCAAATTCTCAGTATCTCAGATTTTCATAAATAGCAGGTTTGTGATCTAGCCTTTGGTCTGAGGAAAAAACATTAAGTAAACTTCATATCCTTGTTACTTAAGAAGATCTAATAATAAGTAACTGGCCTCTCTAGAACAGAGCTACCATTTTTTACGTTGGCTTCACACTAGATGCCAGTGCGGTATTGCTGGGATTCTAGGCTGAAGATAGGGAATGGGTTGGTACAAAAAGGGTAAAGTAAAATTAATTTACAGAAAGACTACTTACATGCTACAAATTCAAGAATTATAGCCGTGAATGTGTATTTAAACATCGCAAATAAAACAAATGGAAAAAAAAAGGATTTTTTTTTTACATAACAGAAAAAATGTATCCTGCTTCTAAAAAAAAATCAGAATATCCTTACCTCACTGTTTCTTTTCAATACAAATACCACGTTAGCATTTCCACCCTATAAAAATATAAGAAAACAGAACAAAATGTACTTTTTCAATGAAGAGATAAGTTAAAAAAATCATAATCATATTTTAAGGCTAATCAGATGACAGCTTTCTTAAAATTTTACTTTTGGCAAAGAAAAAATTACTGTTGTCTCTGTATGTGGAAAATACTTTCTATTTAGAAGAAAATCTGGTATCACATTGAAGTTGATTGAAACTGATCTGCAATACTGAGAAGTAAAGGCTGCCACAGAAGATTTTAAATGTTCCTCTTCTTGATACACAGGTTCCGAGCAAAAACACAGGGCTTGGTATGGCTATCATTTGTGCCAAAACAGAAAAATGAGGTGACCAATAAAATTATTTAAAAGTTGAGAGTACTCAAAATGTTACTCTTAAAAAAGGATTATTATTATGGTAAAAATAACTACAGCTTTTAAAACCCATCATTTCAAGGGGCAAAAGTCAAGGAAGAAATATAGTTTCATTACAGAGGAATACCTTTTTTAGACCACTGTCTGATTCTGTCCTCCGAAGATCTTGGCCATCATCTCCATCTTCCTTTTCACCACCACCTTAATAAATAAATAGAAATTACTAACGAGGGAAATGAACTTGCTAATCCACAATAGAATGTAGAACATATCATAATAGAACTTTATTGATAACATATAAGGAAAACCATTTAACGAAAGGTGGACAATTTTAACCCTATTCTTCCTAAAGTCGATTAACTGGAAGAATGAAATTGGGAAATATATAAAATATTAGCTCTTCCCCTCTAGCCTCTTCTAGGCAGGAGACCTCCAAAAAATTCCTTTTATTCTAGTAAATCCTTTTATCCTTTCAGGTAGGACCCTGACAAGAAGTACTAATTACAGTTAGGGGTGGAGAGAGGGCAAGGGAAAGAAAATAGTTTTTTTTTAAACTTAGATACCTTTGTAGATGTAAATATAATTCCCAAATATTCATGGTTCTCTCATCAGGTTGAAGTCTGAGCACCTTACTCTTCCCTCTGTTACTCTTTAACTTACTATTTTAAAATGAGGCATCTCCTTCACTAATAAGTGTGCCATTTGCTTTAGAAATATAAGAAGCTACATCCCCCAAAGGTGCATACCCCTTAAGGTAGCAAAAATCATGTTGGCTTTAGTATACTTTGCAAATGACATGATATGAAGTACTGATATAAGTAGGCAGACTACTTCCTCTTTGATAGGTTTATGGCTTGAATCAAATCAGTGACGCTCTCTATATTTTTTTGTGCAAAGGAACAAAAAAGATGGGAGTCTCTCAGGAGAGAAGAGTCCCAACAATATCCAGGAGCTGGCAAATACTTCCAATCACATGCATCTTTGCAGCATTCCTAAAATCCAATCAATGGCTCTGTCATTATCTACTCTCAGTAAATACATATTTCTCCCCAAAGCCACAGATGATAGGGATGAGGTGAACTGGAAAGTATGTATCTTTTTGAGGTCAAGATAGTAATGTGATTGGTGGAAGTTGAAGAGAAGCAGGGAGGTGGAAGAGGTAGGAGGCAGGGGAGAGAGAAGAAGGGAGAGCGAAAAAGAGAAAGAGAGAGAGAGAGCAGAGAGAGAGAGGAGAGAAGAGGGGGAGGGAGGGAGAAAGAGAGAGATGGGTCAGGACAAAGTTAAGGGAATAGTTTTCATATACTAATCTCTGTCATCTAATCTGCATAAAATTCAGATGCCAGAGATTTTAATTCATTATTAAGACCAAGATAAAAAGTGTGAGGGGAAGACACAACACAGAAATGAAAACCCACTTAATCCAAAGGATACATATGGGGATAAGTCCATATGCACAGACATACATGTATACTCTGTGGCTCTTTCCAGCACACACATGTACATACATACACATCCATATAGGCAGTCCCCAACTTATGACCTGGTTGTGTTCCAAAATTTTCATTTGTAATTCAGCTGTTTTTAACTCAGAACACGTTTTCTCACAGACACAATGTTGAAGATTGTGGTCAGTTTCCCAGGCTAGCCCACAAAATCCTATTTAACCCATAATGTAGCTAAACTATAGTGCTAATATAGTACTAGCCTGAATTCTGGGTCCTGGGAGCAGAGGGCCATGACAGTACGTTAGGAGGAGAAGTGTTTCCTCCCCCTTTCTTGGGTGCAGGACTGGCCCTAGGCAAAATTTTGAAATAGGCGAAGTTTGTTTTTGGCACCCTCCCATATCCCTTTCTATATACCCTCTCCCATCTCTTAAATGTCCCTCTCTCCTCAGGCTCCCAATGTTCAAATGCTGCCTTAAGGCTCCCACTGTGGAATTTCCCCACCTCCCCAGGTCTGCCCCACAAAGCACTCTATTGCTCAAAACTTTCTACCTTCCTTCTTCCCCAAATTGCAACTTCTGTTCCTTCAGTGTTAACTAAGTAGGAGCTAGAAAGAAAACAGCTGGATCAAACTAATTTATGCTAATATGTGAGTAAATGACCACCCCACCCCTCCTAATCAGAAATTTGTTCACCCAAATAAATATCTTTAATTGACAGAATTTCCACTTCTTGTAGTAAAGAAAAATGAAAGAATATATAAGGCACTTTGTGGTGGAAAGGTCACCCATTCTGCCAAGGAGAGAGTACCAGATCAGCAACTGTAAACTGCACCAGTTTTAATAGCTTTTCACCTTTTTCTGCTTCTGAGTTCTGGGTAGTATATTATGTTCTTTACAAACATCAAGACTTTTGTTCCCCTGTCACTAATAATAGGGGATCCGGTCATGGGAAGGGAGCTATGGATGTAGAACAGGGCCCATTCCAACTGGTATGAATTAGGTGTGTACCAGGTGGGGGACTGCCTGTATAGGAACACAAACTCAAACACACCTACCTTTTGAGGCATTCATCTGGTGGCTGTCAAACCCTCCAAAGGTTTCTGCTCTCCGAGGTAAAGAAACTGGGCCAACTATTCCTCCTTCTTGCTCTGAGGTGCTGCTGATGGACTGTCCAAGTGTGCCCCCAAGGCTGCCACTCACCAGGCCTTGTAGCATCTCCACTAAAAAATGAAAAAGGACATGATAAATTTCATCACCGGTAGAGAAAAAAGTAAAACCATGGTAACTAATGAAGACAAGTGGCATAAAGAAGGGTCTAAAAGAGGGGGTTAAGCAGACTATTTTTCTGCTCATACTTGGACAATCTGCAGGACATGCTATTCCTATCTCCACACTTTCTCCATCCTCCACACCTGAATGAACTCCCTTTACAATTCTGCCTCTTAGAATTTCTTTTTTCCTTTCAGACTCAGTTCAAATGCTACCTCTGCATCATGATCCTAAACCTGGGGTCCATGAATAGATTAGTGGAGAGTTTTCAGGGGTAGATGAACTTGAATGGGAAAGAATAACATCTTCATTTTTAATAACTTCTAACTGAAACTTAGCATTTCCTTCAATTATGAATTTAAGTAATAAACCAGACAAGTATTAGACTTTACCAGATTAACAAGGGGTTCCATAATACAAAGTTAAGAACTCTCGCTCTATATAAAGCCTGCTAGCATCCTCCCTACCAAAATCACTTTCTATTCTGCAAATGCATACATACACATGCATGTATATGTATATATACACACATTTATGTATCTGTATCCATACCTGTCTGTTGATATATATGGTATCTGGCACAGAGTAGGTAGCTAAAAAAAACTTAGAGATTGATCTCTGGTCTAATTTAAAAATAACCTCAGAAATCTGTGATGGAGTACAGAATGTAACGTAAGCCATATAAGTCAATGCAAGAGAGAATGGAGGGAGGAAGAGAGAATGAGTGTCAGTTACCTACCTTCATTTATTGCACTTTTCATGATGGGCCCTCCTTTTGGAACCTCTTCAGTGTTGGACCTGAATAGTACCCTGGAGCCATGAGTCGGTGAACTGTCCTCTGATAAGGGTGTACTGCAGTCTGTCATGTCTCGGAAAATCATCTCCTTTTCCTCCAACAGAGTTAAGATCTGCTGATCTTTCTGTTGGAGTTGCTCTGAAGGATGGACAAAGGGACCAATTCTGAGTAAAACCCATATTTTGAAAACTGAAGTTTATTTGAGATGTGAGTGCCACCTGGTGGTACTTTATGAAAAAAGAATGGACCAGTCAGGAACCTTAACCTATTCTTGAGCAACCAGGTCATCTTCAGTTACATGAACCAGTTAAGGCTGGAAGTCCATCCAGACAGGTAACGTAAGACCTCCCAGTTTTTCTTACATAAGCATAAGTCTTTGACTATAGCCTTAGACAAAAACAGATATACTGCACAGGTCTTTAGTATTTATTTATTTATTTGTTTGTTATTTTTTTTACATCTCTTATTTTCTGATTAAAACAGGACAGTTTTGTCTAAAACATGTCTATGTGGGGATTGTCATAAACAGTGCTTGGATCTGTTTGGCTCTGTACCCAATTTCCATCTGAAGCATCATTCAAAGTCACTCAGGATACTGGGTGCCAATGTATAATCCTAGAACTGGCAGTAAAATACAAGTGATTCTAACAGGACTTTTATTCCCCCAAAAGCTTGCTCATTCTGGGTCTCTTGTGAGCCATCAATCTTGGCTAAGCTCTCCGTGACCTCAAATACCAAGACACTGACCACTGAATCCTGAATCCTTTGCTTTCCTTTCTTAGATCCTATTTAGGTATCTCTAATCCAGTTCCCCTTTCCATCACCTCTCTAACAACAAGCGATGTAGTGACCCTGTCAGACAGAGAATACCAGCCCATTGCTGGCATAGTTCTTCAGAAGCCTTTCTTAATGTTTGAATATCATGTGGTCTCCATCTTGATTTCCCTGTTTACTAACTAAATACACATCTCCCCACATTTAACTGCTGGCTGGGACATTACAGGCCAGTGACTGAACAATTGATAACTTCAGGCATCTCATGCCTTCAGAAGCCACACAGGACAAATGGCAGTCCTGACCTCTCTCAATAGCTTTACCTTTTAATTCTCGGGCTTTTGCATCCAACAATTTCTTTTCTTCTTCATTTTCACTGGGGATTCCTTCATCTTCATCTCTGTTCCTTTAAAAATAACAACATGATCACAAGCATATGGTATCAGTTACCCTGGTTACTGCCAAGCTGATCATAAAAGGTCACAAAAAAGCATTATGAGGGATAGGAATGATACTACCTGATCTCTAACTTACAGGGTATTGATAGTATCTTGAATGATTTGAATCCAACTGTTTCGTTCCTCCTTAGAGCTGGCGTGGACTTCAACCATCTCTGGATCCTTCATTCCCATACTGATTAGGAATAAGCCCTTCTCTTCATGGGCCACTTCTCGTACAATCAACTTCTTTAATGAGATCACCGTTGATTTCTGGTCCTTGAAAAGGGGAGCAAAAAAAGGGGTAAGAAAAGGCACTCAAAGTATGACTTTTAGGTAGAGCTATGATCTAAAGTAAGACCTTATTGCTATCCTTAGTGTATTTATCTGGTTTCACCAAAAAAAAATAGCATCTTCAAGGGAAAAGTCTCTTACCCACACATATATTATAATTTGATCAAACAGAAGAAAACGTTATCAATGATGAAATAATATCATATTAGAAAATTTTTAGTAATTTTTTACATGACAAATCCTCCCAGGAAGACACAATGAACATTCTATTGACTTTGGCCAACAGTTTCATAAATGAATTTGGGTTTGTGTGTGGACAGGCATGGAACAAATATTTCAATGATAGGGCCCCCTCCGTCTCCCAAGATGAAATTACCAAGTGCCCAAGACACAATACTAAAGTCAAGGACTTGTAAAATAATAGTTTCAGATACATTTTGCACTAGAAAATTTGGTGAGTGTTTAAAAAGCTAAATGAAAAGATACAAAAAAAATGCCTGGGGCAAATTAATCTAAAAGGGTGGGAAGCAATACAGTGTGAACAATCAATACCTAATGAGGTTGAAACAGCACATTAGAAAAAGCACATAGGTTCAAGAAAGTATTTTCAGCTTACCAGTGATGCAAAGACATACTTCTGGTCTTTTTCTTGAAGGAAAACCAGAATGTCTGTGAGTAGAACTGCCTGAACTTCTAAAGTGCAGGTGAAGAGAAGAGAAAAAGAAAATAGCCATTTAAGAGTTGAACATGATTGTTCATACAAGTCTAGGAAGGTTCATTTAGCAACATATTGCAGGACTATTAACGATCACCTGAGATCATTAATATGACCAAGCATTCTGGATCTAAATTTCTCTAGGATGTAGGTTCAAAACTTCCTTGGGACATATTTAAAAGATTTCCTTGGTTGGAAAGGATACAGTACTAGAGGAACTCTAGAAAAAGACATTGGCAAGAGAATTCTAAAAAGGATTATGATGGCATTCAACACATTTGAAATATCAGTGATAATCTACTAAGTATCTATGTTGTTCATAATGCTGGTCAGATAATTTCTTACCAAGGTCTAGATTTTGGCAGCTGGGGAAAGGCATGGGGCAGAGAAAGGGAATGCTGCCCAATGGTGATGCATGTGAATGAATACCCAAGTCCAGCTTTTTCACCCCTCAATGCGCAGTTAACAAAAATGAACAAATCTCCTTCCAAGAGTCCCTCAAATTTAACAAAACTGCAACAAGAATTACCATCCACTGTGTCTCTTGCCTCCACTCCAACACCAAGTAACAAACCTCTGCATGTTGTGAGCACAGAATTCCCTTCTCCTTACTTAAAAAAAAAGCGCATCTCAATCTCTCTGAGACTGTACTTTTTGGTACAGTAGGTTTCTAGAGTCATTCCACAAACCCATTTTCAAAAGTTCATTTAGTGGCAGGGCCAAAACTTTTAGAGATTTGCTATCTAATGCGGCCTAGTGAGTTGGCTCACTATACACCACTACTGCTGGTAAAAGTACAGAACCGCTTCTTTTGGAATGGAACTTAGGTCAATATATACCACATCCTCTCAAGACATAAATGACCCTTTCCCAAGGGTCCCATGGGATCCCATGTTACTATCCTCCTAAATGTCTGAAATCTGTTTTCCTTTACATGAAATTCAAATGAAAGTAGTGAAAAAAGAGGAGTCAGGACCTCTGGTTCTTAAACTCCTAGAGAGATCTAATTTTTCAGCCCAGACCACAGTAATTTTCCATGCATAACATTAGTTATGACATAAATTGGTCTTTTTCTGGTTTTGTTTTAAAAAACCTAGGTGCCAAAAAATCTGAAATACAGGCCTCAACTCCACTGTGTCCTGAGGTTTGTATCATTAGTGTCAACAGACTAGAGAAAAACATACCCACCCTTTATTCTAGAGTACATAGTACTGGCTGTTCTTGGCATAGGTTGGCTTGGGAAGTAGAAAGCCTACACATGGCTCTCTCCACTGGAAGTTTTCAGACCTGAAACCTGTCATCTTGCTACTGGCCTGGACATAACTAGAACTCCAGCAGCTGGACTCCATTGTTACTTTTTTTCCCCTCTTTAGCAAAGAAGAAATACTTTGTTTTAAATGAAGGAGAATAAAGTCTTAGCCCCAAATGGCAACTCTAGGAAACTCTGGGATTTTAATAGTAGGGTGGGTATTTATAGGAGAGCAAATGCCTCCTAGATTGTCCTGAAGTACACAAAGCCACACTGTAATGTACTGGAAAGGACAGAGAACCAAGATTTGGGAAACCTGGGTTCAAGTTTTGACTCTATGAACGACTGGCTGGGTGACCTTCACAAATCTCTTAACCTTTCTGCTTCAGTGGGACAATTAAAATGAAGAGTTAGAGGAGATAGTCCCTTCCAGCTCTAAAACACAACTATTTCCTAATTCTAGACTTGTCAGACTGGGTTTTTTTTTCCCCTAAGATCTGTCAGCAGAGTGTTCTAATGAATCAAAATACTGTCGCAGAATCTATTACTAGCCTGATGACACTCTCTGTATGCACATTTCCCCACAAAGAAATACTGATTTCCTTTAAAACTGCTAATAACAACAGCAATGGCAACATTTGACATTTACAAAGCACTTTAAAACGCAAAACACTTTACAGACATTATCTCATTTGAAACTCACAACAGTCATTCAAGGTAGGTACTACAGTGGTTATCATCCCCATTTTACAGGTGAGAACACTGAAGGTTCAGAGATATTAAGTCACTGCCCAGGGGTCACACATGACTAATAAATGTAAGAGGCAGGAATTGAACCTAAGTCTTCTTGACTCTGACTCTAGAAACTGCAACTTCCAGTCAAAAGTATGATGTGAGTAAAACACTTTGGAACTTAAAAGTGCTCTACAAATGTGAGTTTATAGTATTATTTAGTTATTTCTCACCACTATGTGCACTGGAGAAATGCAGGTAAGGAGTTTCAAAAATCCTTTCTTATACTTGAGGCCAATGGATTAAGAGCTTCAGCCAACCTATTTTATATTTGTTTTATTTTTAAGAAAACATGTAAAAATTGTGTTTAATTTGCCTTAACTATTCTCCCACTATATTTGCCACTTTGGCTAAAAAATGGGATATAGTGATTGTTACCTATGAAGGTTCTCTGAGCTAAGAGGCATATATTTCAAAGACTATATAAAATTATACATATAAAATTATGACATATACACATATATTATTTAGTCTTTTAATACAGTCACACACACACACACACACACATACACACACACACACACCCCCACTAAGGAAAAAAAGGGAAAAAAATAGTCTTCTCATAACATGGTGACTTCCTATAGCTAAGAAAGCCAAAGACTTGGAGAAGCAAAACAGCAAAGGTTACTATAAATGAACTAAATCTGTTTCATTTTTCTCTGAATGCATTGATGTCCATGCAGGTCTACCAGACATGATCTATATCAAAGAAAAGAAGAAAAGACCACATAGGTCTCTTTCGCACTTCCCTCTGCTCTTAACACAGTAGAGATTAGTCCAACATATACGCTTTTTAGATGTCTTACCTTTCAGCCTCCCTGCTGCACTCCTCAGGAAGAGACTCCCATCTCGAACAAGCTTTTTTCGTTTCAAATCTTCCTTGGCAAACATCTGTCCACTCTTCATCCTCATAATTGACTTGCTGTCTGTCTTGGTGTAAATCTCATTGAGACGGACTTTCTTTTCATAATTTGCAACTTTGCTGTCCACTGCTCCAATCACATCTTTCACCAGGCTCAGGGACTGGGCCAGATCTTCCTGTTCTAAGTCATTTTCTTAGAAAGAGAAAAAGGAAGAGAGTGATTTTATTTCCTTCCTTTCGACTAAGTTAAAAAGGGGGAGAATCCTACCTTCTTAACCCACCATCCACACTCTGATACTGTTTTCTCTTTTCACATCTGTGTTAACATAGAGTGATGATGATAATTATTTCACCTGAGACAATCCAAGGCTCTTTTCTTTGCTTCAATGAGTCACAAAATAATTAAAAACTTAATATTACACTGAAAATATAGTGAATTCTAAAATTGACAACATACAACAAATAATTTTAGGTGGTGAAAAAGGCCACGGGGAAGCTAGGTGGCGCAGTGAATACAGTACCAGCCCTGGAGTCAGGGAGACCTGAGTTCAAATCTGGCTTCAGAAAAATAACACTTACTAGCTGTGTGACTGGGCAAGTCACTTAACCTCACTGCCTAACCAAAAAAAAAAAAAAGGCCAGGTTTAATGTCCATATCTTAAACATATCTTTTACCAAATCTTAGAATTATAAACTCTTTGAAAGTAGAACAGTGCCTTTATTTGGAGATCAATGATAGAACAGACCCCACAAATTAATCATGTAGAGACAGAAGTTCTTCAGCTACCAAAGAAACTCTGAATCAGACAGAAGTGTATAAACATCTGGTCCGTTTTCTTTCTACCACCCACCTTTATACTCTAGGCAAAACTTTTCAAGCATACCTAGCATTAAATTATCTAGAGCATACAGACTCAAGTAAAAGATAAGACATAAGCTTCTATTCTAATCAACCAGAGAGCTAAGTCACTATTTCAGTGGCTCATGGCTCTTATGGGCATGCTATACACAATGAATACAACCCACAAGAATAAAAGACAAAGGAGAAAGTTACCTTTGGTACACTGTAATATTCTTTGTAACAAAACTGGATATTTGGTAATGCGCTGGGTTACAAGTAAAATGCATTCTGGGATACCCAACCTCCTAACAACTGCACTGCTCATCTTCTTCTGAAAAAGGGGAAAAAAAGCTATAGTTAAGACAAAGACCAAAAACGATCCCGGATCATCTTGCATATTTTTGATCCACTGGATTTTATGCATTCATGCCCATGTGAAAGGAGGGAAAGTACACACCTTTACAAAGGCCTGAAAGCGCTTATCCTTAGTGTGAAGGTCTTTGAAATAGTTCACAGACTGGTTGTGCTGACCACAGAATTTGCCATATGTTTTCTTTAGGCGCTCTGCATTCTCACCTGAAAACTACGAAGAGGAGAGAAGGAACATGAGTGAGGCACTGTAGTACACAACAGATGTTTCAACAACAGATACCAGAACAGAGACAATGCCTCCAGCCCATAAATAGATACTGTAGTTCTTAGGTAAAAACCCTTCCCATTTGCTCCTAGATAGGCTATCTGAGAAAAATCTAGTTATTTCTGCTCAAATATGGTAAATAATCAACAGCCATGAAAAGTCAACATATATTAGCAGTAAACACTTAAGTGATTTGGGAAACTATACATTCACTAGATGGAATTCTGGAGGCACTCAGATTAAGCATTTAACCATTAAGTATAGACAAAAGGCAAAAGTGTAGACAAAAGCGCAGGCAAAAAGCTAAAATAATTAATTCCCACTGACAAAATCCTGTCTATCAGAAGCCAACACTTTTTTTTAAAGTTTCTAGCTTTTTATTAAGTGGTGGAGATTTTGTTGTTGTTCAGTCATTCAGCTGTGTCTAACTCTTCATGAGCCTATGGATCACAGCATGCCAGGTCCTTCTATCCTCTGCTACCTCTCAAAGTCTGTCCAAGTTCATGTTTATTGTTTTCAAGACACTATCTATCCATCTTATCCTCTGCTTTCCCCTTTTGCTTTTGCCCTTCAGTTTTTCCAAACATCAGGGTCTTTTTCAAGGAGTCCCATTTTCTCATTATGTGGCCAAAATATTAAGCTTCAGCTTCAGGATTTGATCTTCCAATGAATAGTCTGAATTAATTTCTTTAAAGCTTAACTGATCTGATCTCCTTGTTGTCCAAGTGATTGTCAAACGTTGAAGCCAACACTTTTAATGACTGTCCCAAATGTTTTTCTGAATTTGGACAGAATCAGATCCTCCATTTGAAGACAGAAGCATTTGCTGGGCTAGTATCTTGGAGGCAGGAGACATGGATTTGGATCTAACATTTAATGGATGTGAAACCATAGGCAACTTATCTCTCTTCTCTGAACTTCAGTTTTCTTATCTGTAAAATGAGGATAATGCACTGCATTGTTTACCCACTTCACAGAGGCTGTCATAAGGAAAGCATCTGATAAACCTTTAAATTTGTAAATTGCTGTGAACATGAACTATGAATAAGAGAAGTTAACATAAGTTATTATGTCGCTTATATCAGCCACGTCTCCACAGTGTTCACAACATTGTAGAGATATTATATAAATGATTTTTATAACAAACTTATATTTTACAATCTCCATTTTACATATGGGCAAACAGAGGCAAAAAGAATTTAATCACTTTACTTAAAGTCACCTAAGGAAAGGAATTAAGAGTACTCTGGGGAGATAAAATAAGTAAAAGCACAAACTGGAAAGCGTAAGGTGCACATGCAGGACAGACTGGGTAGATGAGAAGCTGGACAAGAGGGACTACGTGGCTATGGGAGGCTTTGGAAAAGGGAAGAGTCAAAGACAATCAGTTTCTTACACGGAAATGAGTTTACTTTTTTAGTTATATTGCATTTGAAACAATTACTTTCTATCAATTGGAAACGTCTGACAATGAGAAAAGCAGAACTGAAGATAAGGAGAAAGATGAGGGTGCTAAAGGTGTAAATGTGGGCTTCCTCACAGAGGTATAAGAGCTGAAGTTATCAGGGTAAGTGAGAACTCACAGAGAGAGGGGATGTTAAGAGGAGCCAAAGATGAATCTTGGGGAATATCCTGATAGCTGAAAGGGAAGGATGAAGAGTCAGCAGTGACAGAGGAAGAACAGAGGCATGAAGGAAACCAGAACAGCACTGTGAATAAAAATGAAGGAAGCCTTGAAGGATGAATATGATTTCAATCTGACACAGGCATGTGAATGTGTAATAGTTGTTCAGTCATGACCAACTCTTTGTGACCCCAATTTGGGTGTTTCTTGGCAAAGATACTGGAGTGGTTTGCATTTCCTCCTATTCATTTTATAGATGAAGAAAGTGAAGCAAAGAGGGTTAACAGTTTCAAGATGGAGGGGCCCACGGAGGGCAATGAAGGAGAAGATATCACTGGGTTTGGTGATCAGTAGCCTGTTAATGACCTTTAAAAGTGAGGCTCCAGGGGCAGCTAGGTGGTGCAGTGGATTGAGCACTGGCCCTGGATGCAGGAGGACCTGAGTTCAAATACAACCTCAGACACTGTACATGTACTAGCTGTGTGACCCTGGCCAAGTCACTTAACCCCATAGCCTAGGCTCCCCCCCCCTTTTGTGTGTGTGTGAGACACACAAAAGTGAGGCTCCAGTAGATCTGCTGGGTTGGAAGTCAGAGAATGAGGGGGTAAGCAAGAAAAAAGGCAGTTAGGTATAAACTCTTTCTTCAAGGGATATGACTGCAAAAGACAGGAAGAAATCAAGGACACTGGGCGGGTCAGATTAAAACTTTTTCCCAATATGAAGAAACCTGTGACTAGGCAGACAGGAAGGAACCAGTAAAGAGGCAGAAACTGAAGAGAGGAGAGCACAACTCTCTGTATACAATTGGTACTCCAGAAATGTCTACTAAATGATACAAGAAAGAGAGACGACAGCTAAGGAGGAAAAAGATCCTGGAAGAGGGAGGTGATAATAGGATTGAAAGCACAGGCACAAGAATAAAAATAAGAACCCTTGGTTCCTGGTCAGACATCTACTAAATTAGCCTTTTTCCATGATAAAAAGTCATGAGCATATAACATGCAGAACAAGGAATACAGCTTGCTAAGTTCTAGGCTTCCGTGTTAGGTTATGAGCATGTTCTTGCTTAAGCTGTACAAACATTTGCTTGTGGAGAAGTAGACATCTGAAGCAAGCCACTGAATGCATCCTGGTGGCAAATAACTTGAAAGCATCAAATGTTTTTCATGCAAATTCCATATGAGGAAGAATGGTACTCAATCCACGTTACATCTTAAAAATGTTACCAGCAATACCATATGCCTTGTGAGGCACTTTTGTAGACATTTTCTCATTTAGCCTTATAGTCATATAAGTAAGGTTATAAGCAAATAAAATTTTTTGTGGTAGGGCAAAATGGGGAGTCAGAACACTGCTTAATTTTTCCCCAATTTCTACTTTTCTTTACTAGTCCACATGACTAGTCTACCGAAGGTATGGGCCCCGAAGACGAACCTTATATAGTTCCCACTACTCACCTGATTCACAAGGACATCGCCTATCCTTTTGATAAGAAAATTCTTTTCACTTTTTTCCACCAGGGATTCCTTCTTTCTTTCCAAAATTTTCTGAAAGAACTGGCTGTGGATACTGAGGAGTTCATCCAAACATGGGAACAGCTTTTCCACCATTTGCTGCTCAAAGAGTAGGTCTGTCATCATTCCTCGGCTATACACATCACTCATGATCTTCAGAGTGCGGATGTGATGTAATTCTGTCTGCATCAACTCTAGGTAGGGGAAATCAATCTATTAGTCAATCAACAAACATTTAGTAATCGCCTGCTATGTGCCAGGCACACTATGCTAAGTGCTGGTAATGTCTTTTTTTTTTTTGGTAGGGTGGAAGAAAAAGGAAGAGAAGAGTTTTTGTGACTACTATTTGAATTCCAATTCAATCTTTTCAACTTAAGCCACAGACACCCCCTACCTTCCTCACCTCTGTGTGCTCTGGTCTCCCTTTTTTTTTTTTGACAGTGGCATCAGATGACAAGCCTGTACTGAACTAGAAGTCATCGGATGTTCTCTCTATTGCTGGTTCTTAGTGTTAAGCAACCCTAATTGTCTTGGCTGTTCTTGCCATCTCTCTCACTGTGGATTACTGTTGTTTCTCTAGGTTCAGTGTTACCTAAACAGCTGAAGAACACAAATTCTACTCTCAAAGCAGTTCTTTCCCTCAGTCTCTTGCAGGAGAACAACAATATGCAGTGAAACTGCAGAAATATTACAAGGGTCTCTCAAATAAAATAACAGTTGCATAGCGTAATGAAGGGTCTCACCATAAATCACCTCTTGCCGCTTGACTATATCCTTCTTTTGTTGTTTCAAAAACTTGCTATCTACTATCCGGCTCCAGGATTCTGCCTCCAGCTGTTTGGAATCCATTTCAAAATCTCCCATGAGTTGCCCTTCATTCATATCAGTTCCTACACCCAAAACAGTAGAATTCAATGAATAGAATTCATAGCGAGGAATGCTTAAGAAGTCTATGCCTATTACCCCCAGTGTTAGGACTTCTATTCTCAAGCCCCTAACACTTTGGGTTTTCTTCATTGTGAGCGTGACATAATACAGGAATAGGATTAATTAGGAAAGGGAAAATTTTGTAATAAATTTCCTGGAACTAAAACAAGCATTAATGTATTTCTTGGTATAATTATAGTCATAGTGTAATCAGAACTTGATTCAAGGGAGGCAGCATCATATAAGTGAACAGTGATTAATCCATAATTTCACTCCACTTATTTTTAACTTTATAAAATTACAAAGAATAAAGAAAGGAGTCCTAGGTACTTCATATGCCCCTGGTAGCTGTTCCCAAATAGCTAAAACCATCCAAGGAGAGAAAAAATTTGTATCTTGTAGTATCCAAAGGCTTAATTAATAACTTATGTATGATGGAAAACTATCCAGTAACTATGAAGCTTCTGATCACCAATATAATAGAAACAGCTTAACATTTTATGGACGTGGCTTTATAGGTCTCCTCACAAACACTTGCCTTAACTCCCTGCTTTTGCAGAGTAGCTAATGGAACACACTACTATGTCTCTGCAGATGAACGAATGTAAAGCACATCCTCTTACCCTCATCAGTGAGTGATTCTGTGGACTCATTGACCTTGCTGATTTTATTTAAAGAGTCTGTTGAATGGGACAGGAATTTCCAAGTGTTTGCCATGCTCTCATCATTGCCAACTCTGAGGATAAAAGGAAGCACATAATGTCAAATACTCCTGGAAAAATGATAACCTGCTTTCAAAAGTGAGACCTTGAAATATTAACTGTAAAGTCATTTCAACTGGCCAAAAAACCCCACTATGTATTACTGAAGATAACAATTCACAAGCGAAATTCACAGCAACCTGCAATGCCAGCTACAAACCAAAATGAAAAAAAGTGACAAGACAGAAATGAGTCTTTCAATGATGGGCCACCCACAACTTTTAAGAGACTCAAGAGTATTTCCCCCACAGTAACATGAAACAGTATCTTTCCCTAAACTATATCAGAAATAATCTCTCTGCCTGGAAATCACTGTGAACCTATTTCATTTTCACTTCCTACTTCCTGAAAACTAGATATTCTGAAACATTTGCTGTAAATGTTTCTAACCCAAACCAAGAATGGTCATTTGGAAACAGGCTGTATCTAAAGACATTTTTAAAAAACTGCCCAACAAAACAAATAAAACTTTAAGATTAGAACTTTGAAAAGAAGGCCTTATGATGCTACTCCAAAGATGAGACCATAAAGACCAGCTGGTTGCATCTCCTTCACTCTCAGAAAAAGCTGAAAAGACTACAAAGCATGGGTACATGGATGATAAGGAAAGCGGAGACTTAAAAAGAGGTTTTTATGCTTAAGGCAAGGAGTTGATTCCAGCCTAAGTTAGCCAAAGTCATTACCCTGTGATGGATGTTTGAGCCCTGAATGTGAAATGGCTTATTTTCTTGGTGGGCAGACAGGTAAGCCCTACGCATCACAACAACCACCATCATAATCAACCATTTGCTAATAATTACTATGCAGCTAAGGCCTGAAATGTCAGTGGAGGCAAAGCCACCTCTGTAGAGGAGTGTAACACTTTGTAAAGGGCCAAGCTACAGATAAGTTTTGAGATTTGGTGGTTACTAACTTGGAATCAATCATGCCTCTTCTTCCCCCTCCCCAATATTCATTTACAAAATGAAATTGATCTTTGTATGGACACTGCTCTGAAAAAAACTGCTAGTTATAAAAGTAAATTATTTTCAGATAAAATATAAATGACATTTCAGAATATTATCAGATGACAGAATAAAACTCAGTTTTTTATTGGGCCCAGTTGCCCATATTTTATCCACTTTACCTTTTTAGAACTCAAATTCATCAAAGAAGTGGCTCTATTCCAGTATACTCGAAAAAAAAAACCACACACACACAAACTATAAACAAAAGCAACCTCTGAGCAATTAAACAGCATCAGTAACCTGGCATAACTTTCATTTTCCCCACTACCACCACTCAGTAAGCATAGCAAACACACACAATTTTGATCACAAAATTCATGGTAAAAACAGGGTGTATCCACCAGGCTATTAGTGATTATATGTTCCAATGCCAAATGTTCCATCCAGAAATCTGAACTTACCCAGCAATATTCTGTATAGAGACACTTTTGGAAAGTGAGGCACACTGCTGCGACCGCCTGCTAGAGAACAATGGGGCCACAGAGGTCTCATCAGGCACAAGAATTGCAGAACGTGGGCGTTCTTTGGGTTGTGAGGCTGAAAGGAGAATGGAACAGTCTCATAAGCATCATATAACCTCTGTACTAAACTGATCAGAAATTTCTTTTCTGAACATTAATTTTTAAGTTTTGAGCTCCAAATTCTCTCCCTACATCGAGCTCCTCCCCTCCCCACTGGGAAGGCAAGCAATATGATACCCATTATACACATGAAATCATGCAAAACATTTCCATATTAGCCATGTTGCAAAAAAAGCAAGAAAAAATAAAGAACGGAAAGAAATATGCTTCAGTTTGCCCTTAGAGTTCATCAGTTCTCTTGAGGCAGATAGTAATTTTTCATCATGAGTCCTTCGGAATTGTCATGGATCAACTGTACTGATCAGAGTAGCTAAGTCTTTCAGCTGTTGACCACAACTCAATGTCTACCAATACCTTGTGCAAAGGAAGGGTGTTTTAAAACATTTGTTGAATGAATGATCATGTCCCATATCAAACATCGAAGACTGCCTAGCTCTATAGAGATCGTTAAATTGTTTCCAAGTCAACAGTAATAAGTATTAAACATTTTTCAAATATTCCATAAATTCATGTATTCTTGAAGTTGGAATGAACCTGAGTGCTACTAAGTCCAACCCTATCACTTTATAGATTAATCAATAAGCATTTATTAAACATCTTTTATATGCCAGGCACATATTTTCCAAGCCATCTAGTCTTAAAATGTGGGAGTCATCTGACTGTATTTCTTCCTTACCCCTCACTTACAATTAGCTGCAAAATAATGTTGATTCTGTCTCCACCATCTTTATATCTACCTGTTTTCCTTTCCACACCCACTGCAACCACCCCAGTACCACCTCTCAGCTGGGCTGTTATAACAGTCTCCTAACTGGTATCTTGCCTCCCGGTTTTTTGACTTTTCCGATCTATCCTTCATAATGCTGCCTGAGTAATCTTCCTAATAAAGGATTAACCTCATCAAAACTCTTCAGTGGCACCCTAGCATTTAAGAAATGAAACACAATACAGCCTCCTTAATAGGCGCACAAGACTACAATCAGTCTCCAGCCTACCTATCTCTATTGGAACAGATACTGCTACACTCTTCAGACTTTTAAACTACTCACATACCGTATCACAAATCATTTCCCATTCTCCAATACTCTGCTCTTCCCCCTCACTTCCACTTGTTGACAGTTCTCTTTTCCTTCAAGGCCCAGTTCAGATTCCAAATCATGTATGAATCCTTCCACGCTTCCTCTTCCTCCCTCAGCTGGAAGTGTTTCCATAGCCTCTTTTCTTCACTTAACACATTCTGCTGTGTATCACAGTTATTTGTACATATGCCTTATGCCACCATTAGACTGTACATTCCTTGAGTGTTGTGTCTATGTCTTACTTCATCTTTGTTTCCCCATAGCCTAGCACAGAGCTTGGGGACTCAGTAGGCACTTTGTTGATACTTCTTATGAGGATTCAGATTATAGAAGACCATAGGAAAGAAATCTATACTTGGTATGTTAGTACATAAGGTCACTGAAGATATTTAAGCAAAGGAGTAACATGATAAAGAAGATGACTTTGGCTTCCAGCAAGATAGCGATTCTTTATAGAGGATTTATGGAAGGACATGAACAAAAACCACACACAATGAGAAAGCACAGATGGGCTTTTTATTCTGCTGAGGACTGAGCCCACATCAATGAGATCATACATGCATCAAATTGAGTCTGTATGGATTAGAGAAGTAGATGTAGTAATGGAGGATAGTTAGGATGGTAGATCAGTAATCCAGGCATTAAATGAGGGCCTGGTTTAGGGTGGTGGCAGCAAGGATGGAAAAGGACTCAAAAGATATGAGGAAGATTTAGCATTACTGATTCCCTCTTACCAGTAAGTAAATTTTATCTGAGTAAGAATATATGCGTCTCTATGTCTGTTTTTAATGTGTGTGCTGTAGTTTTTTTCTAATTTTCACTTTCACAGGGAGGTAATCGTCATGTAGATGTGTCTACCTGAAAAAGATCCTCTGACGTAGGCCATATGGGGAGGAGAGAGAAAGAAAACCTGTATACACAGTAAAGAGCCACCTGAGAAATTCAGGGTACTATGGATATTCAGCTTACAAAACCAATTTGCTTGGTAAGCCCCCAAAGTATCAGCAATCAATTCCAAATTTCTTGCAGGACTCGGGTTTCAAAAAGGGAGATCCAGCAGGCCAATCCTCAGAGAATCTCTGAGGCTGCAATCATTGTTTTCAAGCTTTTGGGGTTACATATAAATTAAACTCTGTGTGTGTAAAAGGAACTCTTTAAGCAAAGAAAGAAACTAGGTATTTTTATTAAGATTGACCAAGAGGACTTCGAGAGAAGCTTTATTCTTAGTTTTCAGGCAGAGGTGTGTCAAAAGGATTCTTGCTGTCAGGTAAAGTAAGCAAACTAAGTGAGATATTAAAGCAAGGAAAGAAAGTAGTTTTAATTTCAACTTCTCTTTCTCAGTCACTAAGGCTCTGTTCTGTTCATCTCTGTGTCTGTTTGTGTAAGGTTTCCTAAGATTAGCTTGTTAAGTAAGGGAACTGAAAATGCAGGGCAAGACTCTCCCAGGAGTTAGTATGGGGGGTGGAATCAGAGAAGGGATTTCTCCGAGTAATAACACCAAGTTTTTTTCTTTGTATGAAGCTCTAGCAGTAGCTTTATACTGATAAAGATCCACCAAGCAGCCTGAAGATAGCAAGGCCTGATGAGGAAAAGCTAAGAAAGTATTTTGTTACTCAAAAGTTACATGAATTCGGGTTTAATTAGATCCCAAAGCTAAAGTCTGTAAACGGGATTTCAGTGATTTGTTTAAAATGCATATAAAGGGGCAGCTAGGTGGCACAGTGGATAGAGTACCGGCCTTGGATTCAGGTGGAACTGAGTTCAAATCTGTCCTCAGACACATAACACTTGCTAGCCGTGTGACCCTATGCAAGTCACTTAACCCCATTGCCTAGCCAAAAATAAACAAAAGTAAAGAATAATAAAATAAAATTCATATTAACATTGTAAAAGCTGTTTTTTATAAGTAATACTGATGAAGGGGTATGAGAGAAATAGAGCTCTCTTGATTTGTAAATTATTGAGTGTTAACTCTCCAGATTCTAAAAGGTGAAGAGAAGCAGGATAAAAAGGAGAGTATGATTTTTAATTTGGAAAACTGCATTAAAAGCAGTCAAGCCTTCTGTAATCTGTTAATGGGGTTTCAGAGTAGCCAGAACCCTACTATTGTGTTTCAACAGGAACATAAACCACTTCATGTCTCCTAAAAAGTTTCTGTAATCACTATAAACATCTTAATGGATTTTTTTAAAAAAAGGATTTGTCCCACAAACTTCTTCCTATAGTGGGACTACGAATAAACAGTGCAGCTTTCTATCTTCTTTTGGGAGAATGAGAAACTTGGAGCTCTTTGATTCCCTAGTGAACACCTAAATTTTGTGATACACAGACTAATGAAGAGAATCCTCTGGGTTGAAATCAAGTCTATAGCTTGGGAAAGTAGGGTGTTAGTAAGACGTTGGTTTAATAATAGTCTGCATAATTTGGTTTATGGCTAAAATGTAAGGGAAAGTGGGAGTAGTCTGAGTTACGAGTCTGAAAGATTTAGAAAGAAATAAAGGCTTGAGGAAAAAAACTGGAAATATAGGCAAGGTTTGGGGACCAAAGGGGTCATACTATGCTCATAGCTGGTGGGCAGTAGCAAACCCTCACCTGTTCCTGGATAGTTGCTCTGGGTGCCTTTGTGCCAGCTTTATATGGCTTAAGCATGTTTAGAGGGTGTGAGGAACTTTGACTTTGTTTTAAGTAGAAAGATTGAGAATAAAAATTTTGTAGCTTGATTTGAAAGTCTATGGACAAAGTTAGAGGGATAGGAGGAATCAAAATGGAGGACACCACATGTTTCAAGCCCCTCTTGTTACATATTGTCACTTTAAAATCTTTGGTAGTAGATCAGCTGGAAATAAGTGAATCCCAAAATATAAAACGCTTGGAATAAATAACCCTTATGTAAAATATAATACTAATTGAAATTACAAATTGAGATTCTGTATGATAACATGTGGAAAACAGATCCAGGTGTAATTAACTGAATTTATTCTGGTCTCATTTTAAGTGAAATTTCTAATTTATTATTATATTACATCAGGAAACTTGTTAGCTGTGTGGTTTGAAACCAAGTTACTCCAGTTATGTAATCTGTAATGTGTATAAAGATAACGCCTAACACTTATTTGGCAATTTACTGTATTAGAAAGCTTGTTAGAAATGTGAATTCTTCTTTAGTTCTTTTGGGTTATGGATTTAATTGTTAAAAGACTGATGTAAAAAACAAATAAGAAGAAACAAGTAACAGATTAGTAACTGAGTTAGGATGTCAGTATTTTAAGATTTTGGGATCTAACCCCATGCTTAAATGATTAAAGTACAATGATCTGACTTCAATTAAGAACTACAAATTGAAAAGAAAAAGGTTTTTAGAAATCAGTCTGTAACCACTATAGTCTTAAGAGTAAGGTTAGATAATCATCTGGTTAATCATGTCCAATAGCCTTTCAGGATAAATCTATAGGAAGGCCTTATTAAATCTAACACTTCTTAAATATAGATATGATAAAGGCATTGATTATTGTGATTTGTGATTGTTATACAAAATCTTACGAGTTTCCTTGTACTATTCAATTATTTAATTATTATTTATGTAACTCTGTGAAAGTCCTTAAGACTTCTGCCTAGGGAAACTGGCCACACCCTGCTAGGATTAAATCAAATTCCTCAGGTTTCTTTACCTGGGCCATGAAGTGGCAGTACAATTTAGAGTCTTAAGATATTTTAGCCCAGCATATTTTAAGCTAACTTGATAATAACAGGTGAGAATTTAAATTGTTTGTAAAACTTTATATGTATTTCCTAGTATATGGAGCTTGAAATTCCCAGGAGGATGGGAAGGAGGAGCTAGAATGCTCTTTATCTGATAAGTCTCAAAAGCAGGGGCAGGGATCCTAGTCTTCTAATGAAGCAAAGGAAAAGAATATTTGGAGCTGGAAATTAACTCCACATCTTTTTTAAAAAAAGGGAAATATATTAATTTGTGGATAATATTCTTTTTTTTCTGAAGTGCTGTGAGTATTGGGACTTAAAAATTACAATGTTACCATTATCGATGATAAATCCAGATTTGATTTAAGCCAAAATCTGTCCTGAAGGAAATAAGAACGGGGTCTGCTCCTTGTCAACATTATGTAAATTATAACCTAACATGAAAAGGTATTATTTGACATTAAGAAATTTATTTTTTATGGCCCCAAGAAAGTTGTGTTTACCTCAGTTTACTGTTCTGTAAGGGGATAATAATAGAACCCACCCTCCACGGCTGTTGTGAGAATCACATGATTGTAAAGTGCTTGGCACAGGGCAAATGCTATATGAATGTTAACAGTTTTTATTATCTCTTTAGTTAGATGTAATTGCTTCATACTTCATAACTTTATATGGGTTTTTAGATGTGATCAACATTCAAGGGCAATGGTGATGAGATGAATAATTTTCTATGCAAAGCAATCTGTAAGCACATTCACCTGAACTGGTTTGTTTCAAGTTTTAAATACATAATACTGTTTAGGCCCTAAACTTTAGGATATGGTCATATTTCTAAATTTTCTATTATATAATACTTTAGCTATGTTGTAAGAAAAGCAATTCCTCTTATAATCTAGATGTTGTTAGATTAAGAATTGTACTGTTAAAAAAAAAAAAAGGATGAGTTAGGAAGCTGTTAGGTCATGCTATCAGCCCTGCTGACCATATGCTGTTCTAAAGCACTATAATTTAAGAAAATTATAAACTTCCATATTTTGTCTATATTTAAGAGGAAGTTTCACCTAAAATTACTTGGCTATCACTTATGAAAATTATGAGATTGTTAATTAAGTTATCTGGAGTTGTTTTAATCAAGCATTTACATAAGAATTTTTTAAAACGCCTACTGTAGGAATTCCTACTGATTAAATGGGAATCCTTGCACAAAATGGGGGTATAGTTTTCAAGCCTGCTTATGTTAATATATAACACATATGTTAATATACGTCTATATGTGTAAATTTGGGGGTTTTTTTCCCCCTAGGGGTTTAAGTGAACTATCATATATTTACTATCTATGTGAGATTCCAGAATGTAATTATTTTCTTAATTTCTAGAGATACATTTAAAGACAAAGGGAAGAAAAAGATATTGAATAAATATAATGAAAAGACTGGGGAAAGGAAAAAAAGTAAGCATGTATATACTATCTGGTATGTGCTAGGGCAGCTAGGTGGTGTAGTGGATAGTTACCTGGCTTGGGGTCAGAAAGACTCATCTTTGTGAGTTCCAATCTGGCCTCAGACACTTACTAGCTGTGTGACCCTAGGCAAGTCATTTAACACTGTTTACCTCGGTTTTCTCATCTGTAAAATGAGCTGGAGAAGGAAATGGCAATCTACTGTAGTATCTCTACCAGGAAAATCCAAAATGGGGACATGAAGAGTCAGACATGACTGAATACAACAGACCAACCAGAAGAATATTCTCTCTCTCAAACTAGGGGAATATCCTTTGCTATAAGATATCAAGTACTAGCCAATATATTTCTCTAACAGTTCAATCCAACTGCACGGATTTTTGCTGGAGGTGAAAGTTTCTCCTGGATTCTGATAAACATAACTGAAGATTTTCAAAGTCTCACTAATGTATTCTGAGAAATGACCAAAATGTCTAATGAATTGCTTTGTGCCTTGTAATAATTCCTGAAATAGCTTCAATAACCAGGCATGCTCCATGGGTTCCTGCGCTATTAAGACTAAGTCAGAGGTAAAATTCATGGCAAGGGGTATCCATCCACTGCAGGTTGGGAGAAACAGCTCTCAAAGGATATACAAAGGCAGCCTAGCTAATGACGTCGTTCTGGAAATCCCCAGCACAGGGGTAGCAACAAGCTAAGTGTAAGATATGGCACACATAGCAGGAATGCAAAAACAAAACCCCTAAAGCTTGATCGCTATAATAAATGAATGTTACCAATACAAAGTAATGACCCGGGAAAAGTTCATGAAAAAGACGAAGAAACATGAAGTAGGGGAGGAGCAGGCTACTTATTACTTACGTTTATTCCTCATAATAACTGTAGGAAGTGAGGAAGTGTCATGGGCCTGAAGACTTCCTTTGGGTTGCTAGAAGAAGAAATAATGGAATTCAGTTTGACTAAAAGAGAAAGGAGAGAGAACTATCCGTCTGGGCTTTGTGGAATGGTGAATTTCACAATGACTATCAACCAAATAGATTAATCCTTAGCAATCCTATTTTAAGGAATTCACAGTGAACATCTTCAGCAGCCCAATACAACAAAAAGCATAAGCAGACACTGATGGAAACAACACATCTGTCACAATCCCTGGGCAAAAGTGTGCTCACAACTAAAGAAGGCATGCCTTTTTATCTCTGAGTATCAGTGTGGTAGCTAGGGGGGTCCAATGGATAGAGCACCAGGCCTGGAGTCAGGAAGACCAGAGTTCAAATCCAGCCTCAGACACTTACTAGCTGTGTGCCCCTGGGCAAGCCATTTAACTGTTTGTCTCAGTTTCCTCATCTGTAAAACGAATTAGAGAAGGAAATGGTCTTGGGTAAGTTACTTAACCTCTTTAGGACTCAGTTCCCTTATCTGTAAAATGAGAGGATTGAAGTAGATGACCTCTAAGGTTCCTTCTGACTCTACACTTATGATTCTATGAGCCTTTTTTTAGGTGTCTTCTATCTACGTGATCATTTCCCAGGAAAACTTAACAGTAACTGTACCACAGGCAGGTCAAGCACTGATAAAATGCCTTAGCTATGAATCACCACATAGTGATGCTGCTGCTTCTGGGGGATGGGGAGAAGAAGTGTATAGGTAACTACACAGTGCCTTCCTACAAGGAGATAATTATATAAGGAAATATAATATGGACAAAACCACAAGAAACATTAACTCACAAACACCACCAAAATATGCTACCCTGCACCAAATAAAATACGTAAAAGCAGTATAACACAGTAGACGGAGAGCTGGTGATGGAACCAGGAATATCTTTAACCTCCTAATGATCTAGGCAAGTCTCTAAGACTATAAATTGCAGAGAAGGTAATGACCTGCATTGGTATAGAGGGAGTTTTCTCATCTTGGAGTTCCCTATGTCAGTGAAATTCCAGGTCCAGTCCCTATGCCTCAGCAACTCTGTTGGCCTTGTTCATGCATTTATTTATAGGCCATGCACAGTGCTAGTAGTTTTAGGCACCACCAGACAAATAGTATTTTCTTTCTCCTCTTAACATGACCTAAGCAATTTGTTCTCTAAGGAGATCCCATTACAAATCAGAGGGATCCTAAGACACTCTCAGAAGTCCAAAGCACCTGATTTCTATTGGATCTTTCCTGACAGTGGACAGCATATAAAGAGTACCAATAGCAGAGAAGCTGAGTACATAAAGTAAAAACAAAACAAATCTATTTGACCCTCTCAGGCAGAATATTAAACACAAAGATACATATGTTTAAAATTTAAAGATTTTTAGAGCGTGTTTTATTTTTCTTTTTCAAAAGCTGAAACAATTCTGTAAAAGAACTGATTTACCTTTTTGGGCAGTAATTTAAAAACAAGTGATGCCTTCTCATATCCTGCCTCCTCTCCCCAAAGAAAAAACAAATAGCTTTCTTCCATAATTGTTTTTGTGATATGACTGAATTGAGTCCTATCTTTCAGTCAGAAATGTCTTACCTTCATTTTGACCTTTGCACAAGAAGCCAGACTTTCTCTACAGCCTTTGTGGACAAAAGCACCACAATCTGAAAGGAAAACAGGATCCAAGGTGACAAAGAATGACAATAATAATAATAAAAAGCTCACAGATCAATGCTTTCTATCACGAAGCTGCTTACATATATATATTCTTAAATGAAATCTCCCACATTTTAGAGTCCTATGCTTTCAGCAATCCTCAAACTGTAGTTGCAGATTGTATCCTTTGGATACACTGTCTGTTCCAGAGATTAGTCATATCATGTTACAAAGCTGTGAGAAACTAGAGCAGAAGGAAGTCCCAATCAACAAAGATTACAAGTCTGCAGTATTATTGGCAAGAAGCTGAAGAAGCATCCAATTCTAAAGGCCAAAGATTCTGTGCTCAACTCAGATGTCTAGAGAATCAAATGGAGAGTCCCAAATAAAGAAGATGCAGACAAAGAAGGAACCAAAATAAAACACTGTATAATTTGCATGACTATGGCAGAGGCCTGACAATCGACCCTCAGATGTCCTTTTGACTTGGCTTCCAGGCAAAGACCCAAAGAGGAGCCCTCAATTCATCAGACACTTTAAGGAAATACAACTCAGAAAAGTGAGAGCTGCTTAGTTAGCAAAGAGTAGACTGCCATTTACAAGGGGAACAATTTTAATTTTTCGTTTTATTTATAAGTCTCTTTTTACACATGAAGATCTCATTTCTGTTCCTTGGAGGAACAGTCAGCTGTTGCTCTTGCTGTGATGTCATCAACAGCATTATGAAAAAAAGGGCAGAAGGATAGGCAGACACAGATAAAGCTTCATCCTGCGGACGTACTTCATAAGTATCTCTCACAAAACAGAAACATATTCAGCAAATCAATAACAGACACTGATCATTAAGCAATGGTTTTCAACTTATCTGAGAGGAGCAAGTTTATTCACCAATTACGCTCAAGATGTTAAATGACCTCAGCAAGCTATTTTCTTCTTGGGGGTGAGGGACACATGAGATAGAGAAAGAAAAAGCATGCTTGCCAGATTTCAGCTCCAGAATCTGACCTCTTCCTGTCCCTGTTACTTTTGCAAATATATTTGTAAAACCAGCTTAATGTAGTATACAGATATGGGATTGCAAGTCTGGCAAACTGAACTTTAGACCTGGCTCTTCCATTAATTATGTGATGGTAGGCAAATCACACTCTCTAGACTTCTGTTTTCTCATCTATAAAATAAAGAGATTTGATTAGATTCTCTCAGAGGTCCCTTTCAACTTTACAATTCTATGACTCCACTTACAATCTTTTTTTTGCTGGGTTACTAAGACAATCAATTATGTCAGACAGTAAAATTCTCAAGCATTTCACTGAACTGGGATACACAAAGAGTATTTAAAATGAGTTTTTAACTTCCTTTTATGTTATCTCGATAAACACTACAATAAACTGGTACTCTAAAGCAGAGGTGTCAAGCACGTGGCCTACACCACTCTCAAGTGCAGCCCAAACTAGATTAAAATGTAATTGGGATATAGTTAACAACATAAAGAAATACAATAAAACACAGATATTACGTTTTAAGACAAAATCAGTATGCAGCCCACAGGGATATGCTATATGGATTAGCATATGGTTTCTTTTCGGGTTGTGTTCTTCAAGGAATGTGGTAGACTAAGCAGTCATTAAGCACAATGACTCAGGGAACTTTGGATTGAGAATGCCAATCAGGTCAGTAGTCAGACAAAACCCATCATAAATCCCCATACTTTTCAATACTACTCTTTATTAGGTAGGGAGAAGATGCTTTTTGAAGGCATCTTGCTTCTTCTAAGTCTGTCAGGATCTCCTCAGATGCAGAATCACTGCCTCACAGACCACCCAGAATCTGAGCAAGAATCCTTTTTAAAATACAGGATCATAATAGAACTAGAAGGCACATAAGAGGTCATCTAGTCAAACTTCATTTTATAGATGAGGAACTGAGGCACACATATCCAATACACAGTTATCTGGTCTTTAAACACCTAAATTGGGAGGGAGTTCACCTTTCTTCCCAAGTTTCACTTTTGGATAATGTTATTCGGAAATTTCTCCTTAGATGTAATTCAAATTTGCTATCTTTGGCAATTGCTACACATTGCTTTCAGTTTTGCCCTTTGGAGTCATGTGGAAGTCATCTAATTCCTCTTCCACATAACAACTCTTGAAAATGCTTATCATATTCTTCTCCAGTTTTCTCTGCTCCAGGCTACACATCTCCAGTTCTTTTAACTGATCCTCAGACGACTCGACCTTGAGGCCCTTCACCATTCTAGTTACCTTCTCTGAACACTCTCCAGCTTACTGACATCCTTCCTAAAAGCCAGAACTGAACAAGACACTCCAGACTGGTCTAACCAGAGAAAAGTACAGTGGAACTATTACTGGAATACTATCTTAATGCAGCCTAAGATCCCATTAGGCCTCTTGGCTAACATATCACATTGTTCTATCAAGCCTGCAGGCCACTAAAACCTCTCAAAACAGCTTTTCCACCCCACCCTACTCCCAACTCAACAGAAGCAACTACTTAAGTATCTTACTTGAAGTTTGCTGTTGCTAAAGTGTTAGCAAAGGGTCATAGTAAAGTGGCCATATCAACTCTCCCCAAAAAAATCCATCAAGGCAAAGGACTGAAGCTGTTCTCTGGTGACTCAAACTCAAATTGAGCCAATCTGACCAACTAAATACTAATTCTGGCACTTTAGTAAGAAATCTTTCAGAAGTCCTTCCTCAGTAGATTCAAGATGTTAGGATTTAGAGCACTTTTGACTAATCAGTGAGGCAACTTGTATACATAGTTTAATAATTTTAAGAGCACTGAAAATAGTTCATAACCACAGTTAAGGGAAAGTTGGCTGAACTTAGGAGACTTCTGACTACCTCTTGGCTGAAGGGGATACACATATTAAAGATCCTTTATTTATTTACTTCTTGAGTATACTGAAGAAACAAAACAAAGTAATGATTTCTACATCAAGGCGGGGTGGGGAACAACCCACAGACAGGAAGAGTACATGCATGGTGGTGGTTTGAACTTCCACCTCTGCAGGCAAACCTAAGCCAAAAGACCCCAAACCTTTTAGTCTGTGGTCTTCTTTAGTGGGTCAAAAGCAAAACCAATCAGATGAGTATGGACACCTTTGTTTTTGCTGTATTCTCCTTCAGAGCCCTAATATGCTGATTGGAACCCAGGAGCTCCACGGTGGACTCTGTTTATTAACATACTGTACTCCAATACAATTCTCTGACCACTTTCTAGGTAAAAGATAGAATAGATACAGACACTGATTTCCTAAGTTATGAACAACCATCATGTGAATATCTTGTTTGCACAAATGCCTGGGAACGGAAAGGAATAAGCATTTATATGGTAACTACTCCATGTGAAGAACTTTGCTAAGTGCTTTAAAAGTGATTTCTCATTTGATGGTTGGTTGCACACTACCCCTTCCACTCTCCAAAATTCTCTCTGCCTCCCTTTTCTCCCTACTCTTTGAGTCCTTTTAGCCCTGTAACACACTGGGATCAATACTATCCAGATGGCTGATGTGGGGAATTACTGCACCATACAACAATTTCTTTCTTCCAGTGAGCTTCATGCAGTGATGCTCCTTATTCCCTTTTCTGTCTTCTATAGCTCAGTTCTTTTCACCTCAGATAAGCCCTCTCTAGGACATATCCCATTAACTCTTTTTTTGCTCTACTTTCCAACCCTCTTGATTATCTCAGATACATTAATTACTGTTAATTTCACAGAATAACTTTAATCACAGCTGGCAATTGTAAGATTTGTATTAATAACTCAGGGAAAATTATATTTACAATAATTTAGGGAAAAATTATGAGCTTGAAGGGAAATATGATATAAAGAATGAGTGCCATCAACTTCTAAAATTCTTGAAATGATCTACAGCAGAAGTCTCCCCTTTCAAAAGCATCTTAGATCTTTTAAATAAATCTCTTCTCCCTCAAATTCTAATATATAAGTAAATAAGTGATAGATAAATTTTCTCTTCTTATTTTCTTTAATTACTGATGTTTGCAATTTGTATTGTTCTCTATTATTTCGTACTACAGGTGTATAATATTTCAACTACATTATGAACTATGTAGACTTTTATGGGCTAGCCTGGGAATTTAACTACTATTTAGCATTGTTTCTGTGGGAAAATAGGTTCCAAGTTTCAAACAACCAATTTACAAATGGATATTTAGAATACAACCAGTTTCGAGGCTAGGGACTGCATGTACTTTCTTTCAGGGCTATTTCCATCTGGCAAAACTGCTTTGTGAGGTGGAAAATTATCACTTTAACAGACAGTTTGGGAAACATTCCAAATCCTAAGTTAAGGGCATAAAGTAGCCTGATGAGTCTGAACTGTGACACCAACTGATTGAGTACAAAAAGCAAAAAGGATGTCAAGAAGATATTTTAAACCAACTGAAATATTCCCATGAAATTGCTTTTCTAACTAAACTAAGACTCTCCCATGGAGCTACCATTTAAAGAAATTCACTAGCCTGTTGCTATACTGTGATCACAAGCCTCATTTAAATAAATAGTGGAAATGGAGTCTGCTGAAAGACACTCAAGCACCCACTTGAAAAGTACTCAACTTGTTCCCAAGTTGTCCTGGGCCCAACTCTGATGGGCAGTTTTAGTGCTCTATGCGAGTGATGTAAAAATATCAACTTCACTGACATCAGGGTCATGTGGTTGAACTCCCATACTCTATTTTGGAAAAAAAAAAAGACAACAGGCAAGAACAAAATAATTAGAGACAAGTCTAAACCATTTTCATGTCCACTGCCACAACCAGAGTAAGTTTTCAAAAGAGATCAAAGGAAAGTTGACTGGCCAACTATTTCAGATTTCTTAACAGAAGTAAGCAATATGTGTTTGTCTTCCAAAGGCCTTCTCAAGTAGTATCTCAATACATGGTTTATGGGAATAGCACTGGCCCCCCAATGCCCAGAATGCCCAGCAATCCATTCTTCTTCCTTCCATTTCTCTATGAAGAAAT